CAGAAGCACAGGCAGGGAAATGAGATCTGGTGCTAAAAACAAAACGTGTCTCCTCCTGTTTCCTGTTCACACCCCAGCAGGCTCCCAACGTGCTTCAGGACCTCCGTGGCCACTGTGGTGGCTACAAACACAAAAATCCCCCTCCAAGGTTTAGACTGCACCTGAACCCTTTCATTTAAAGCTCAGGAAGAATTGAATTCTTACAGCACTTCATGCATTCACTGTGTGCAATCACTGTGTGCTTCCTTCAGCTCCTGCCCGACGCTGTCCGTGCCCAGAGCAGCTGGAAATGCCATTTTCAGGAGTGCCAACCTGGCTCTCTGCAGCTCAGTTGCTCCCCAGGTTCCAGAGCAGGGCACGGGCACACCCTGAGCTCCCAGGGGTGCAGAGCTGTGCTGGAGGCACCACTCTCCCTGTCCATCACCTGGCAGAGAGCAGCACCACCAGGTCATTTCAAGCTCCACTGCACAGCTGGAGATGTTCAAACTTTGTCATTTTGGGCTGACACGGTGCTAGCCTGGGACCAGGAGCTGTGCCATAACACAGCAGGGAGCAGAGGGCAGCTCAAAATGAGAGTGAAGAGGCTTCTTCACATCTAATAATTTTCTCTGATGAAGACAGGCTGAGAGCTGGGGATGTTCACCTGGACAGAGGAGACTCCGGGCAGACTTTGAAGCCCCTTCCAGTGCCCAAGGCCTCCAGAGCTCCAGGAGGGCTTGGGCACCATTTCCAGGGATGCACAGGGTGGGATTGTTGGGGTGACTGTGCAGGGCCAGGAGCTGGGCTGGATGATCCTTGTGGGCCCCTTCCAACTGTGGATATTCCATGATTCTATGAATTTTCCGCCCTTTGCTCCTTTAGAAGTGTCCCTCCCTTTTCAGTGGGCCAGCAATCCCTCCCTGAGCATGAGGTGTGTGAGGAGCAGCTGCACAAGGAGCCCAGAACCTTCCCCATCCCCAGCTGCCTGCAGGGACCCGCGAGGCTCCCAGGGACCCTTTCTCAGGAGGAAGGACGTGATTCCCCCTCTGACACCAGGAACGGAGCTCTGCAGGAGGTGCAGGGACCTTCCCTCGGGGTGAACTGAGCTCATCTCCGTACAACCAGCAGGTGACACCGGCTGAAGGTGACACCAGCTGAAGGTGACCTCAGCTGAAGGTGACACCAGCTGAAGGTGACACCGGCTGAAGGTGACATCAGCTGATGGTGACACCAGCTGAAGGTGACACTGGCTAAAGGTGACCTCGGCTGAAGTGACCTCCCCGTGCCACCCGCTCCATCCTGGCCCGGGCTGCTCATCCTCCCCCTCCATCCCAACCACCCGGGTGTCCTTGCGGGCTCCTGCAGCGCTGCCCGCCCGGGGCTCCCGCTGCCTGCCGAGGCCGGGGCAGGCGGGGAAGGCGCAGCAGCCCCGGCGGTGCCTGCGCTGTGCAGTTGGATGGCTCCACCACGAGAGCCCACTGCTGCTCCGCGCTGGGCTCCGCCGCTGTCCCCGCCTGGCCCCGGCGCCGCCCGAGGGGCTGGGGGTGCTGAGCCCCCCGAACTCTCCCCACGGAGGGGCTGCGATCGCTCTTGCCTCGATGGTCCCGGGGCGCTCCGCCGCCCCCAGCCCTGCAGGGAGCCTTGGGCGATGCTGCAGCTGCCTCCCCTCCATCCTCAGCGGGAGCTCTGGATGTCTCCCTGTTTGGTACGGGTTTCAGGTGCTTCCCTCCGTTTCACAGAATTTTCGGGTGTTTCCCCCGGTTTTGCAGTTTCAGGGTGTTTCCCTCGCTTTCACAGGATTTTAGGGCGTTTCCCTGGGTTTTACACGATTTTAGGCAACACTGCAGCATCACAGCAGTCTCCCCCCAAACCCCGCTGTACCCCCAATAAACCCTCCTTTGGGGAGGTGATACAGGTGCCTCCCTTCCTGCAGGGCAACACCTTAATTAGGGGGGAAATAAAAGGGGGTGTGAGCGATCCCTGGTGAGGACAGAGTTAATTATGGATGTAGCAGCTCCTGAAAGCTTCCCCAGGCAAAAACCTGGTTTTGAGCAAAGCTGTTCCTGCCTGCCGGGCTCCAGGAGCTGCCCTGCTCAGAGGGGACGATAAGGAGAGTAATTGTTGCTCGGTGCTCATAAAAGAATTATTATTAAGGAGGGGAAGAAAGTTGTAAGTGAAGTAAATTGGGCCAGGCTGGGTGTTTGAATAGACAGGAATAATGTTATGGTAATGTCATGCACGGCTCTGCTGCTCCAGGACCCTGACGTGTTTTATAAAGCCCGGTGCTACAAAAAGCAATTCTGTGAGCAGAGAGAGGGAGAGCTGGCCAAAGAGAAACGAGAAGCTGTAAAAATGATGTTTTATTGTGTGGGAGAAAGCAATGAGTTGAGATCTAACCCTTGATGTCCTTCTGGAGGAGAAAGCTAGCAGCATATTGTCGCTCGCTTGTATGATTTAATTTGCTATTCTAAGTCTTACAGTAATTTCTTTCCTGTGCTCCAAAAGCTTGTATCTAAATTTCTGTTTGCAAATGAAACACATGGAAGAACTCCCCAAGGCTGGGGCCTCAGAGCTGGATCTTCCCAGAGTGCAGGGGGCTGCCGACAGGACGGGGGCAGGGGGCACCCAGCAGCACCACCTTCCACTGCCACTGTGATCTGATTTTAGTTTGACAACCCAAAACACCTGAGCACCAGCCCGGGGTGGGCTCCCTGTGCTGCACAGGGTAAGTGATGGATCCGGGCTGTGACATCAATCAGACCTTTACGAGTCCCCAGCGGCTGCAAATCAATAAGTGCCAGCAATAATTACCCATTTTGTCTTTCTCTTTATTAATATTTAGACGTTTTTAAATCTTTTCTCTCTAAACATGACGTTTCCCTGCTGTGGGTGTCCTTCAGAGGGAGCTGTCAGGAAAGCTCCTGTTCCTCTAATTACAGGCTTTGTGCTGGATGGAGCTGCTCCCTGAGCAGGAATGACAGAGCCACCAAAGATGGGGACGGCTCTGCAGCCTCAGCCTGGGCAGGTGACACTGGTGATGTCCCCAGGGGGAGGGTGCAGCCTCTCTGGGTGTCACAGTGCAGATCTTGTGACGGTCACAAGGGGTCATCTTGTGATGGTCTCCAGCTCTTGGTGGGGGTGACCACAACCCACAGATGTCATTTAAAGAGATCATGGAATGGTTTTGGTTGGAAAGGACCTTCAATCCCATCCAGTGCCACCCCCTGCCATGGCAGGGACACCTTCCACTGTCCCAGGCTGCTCCAAGCCCTGTCCAGCCTGGCCTTGGGCACTGCCAGGGCCTGTCCATGGTCACAGAGAGAATTTCTTAATTAGGAGAAGTCCCTGGAGGTGATTATCTCCTCAGGGGTGCTGTTAGGGATGTAGACATTGCAAACAAAGCCCTCTTTTGACATGGAAAGGGGAGCAGGACTCCACGATTTTCAATGGAAATGACAGCCCTTATCTCCTCTAACATGGGTGTGAGAGAGCTGATAATGCCCTATCAGCCCTGAAAAACAAATGGGAACAAATTTGAAACAGAAAACAACCCTCCCAAAAAGTAATATAAATTATGTTTTTTGTGGAGACAAAAAGTTTCCAGCAAGTCCAGCTTTAAAGCAAAAGAAGGGCTGGAAATAAGTGAAAGGAGGGATCCTGGAGCATCTGGCACGTCAGGAATACCTCCAGCTCCTGCAGGAACAGGTAAAGCCATCTCTTGTCCAGCTGTGCCCACAGGGATCTGTGCCAGGGATCTGAGGGCAGACCTGGCTTTTCCAGCGTGGGAGAGGTGAAGCTGTATCCTGACTTCTGGGCTGTCAGCAGAATAAAGCCTCGGGGGGATCTCAGAGGCTGCTCCCTCCTCAGGCACTGCAGGCACCGAGAGCCTGTCCCCACCACGGGAGGAGAAGCTGGGACTGCAGAGACCCCAGGGCTGGACAGGGACCGTGCTCTGACAGCCCCAGGAGCCTGCAGGGCTCCGGTTTCACCTCTCCTGATCCCTCCGTGCCACCTCAACAAGGGTCTCCCCAGGGTGACAGAGCCACCTCAGCATCACCCCACTGAGGGTGACAGTGCCAACCCCACCATTGGGACAGCACCAGGGATGGGGACAGAGAGGCGACCACAGTTAGGGTGACCACACTGAGGGTGACCACAGTGGGGTGACCACAGCGAGGGTGACCTCAGGTTTCCCCATCCTTTTGCACAGAGATGCTGCAGGCTCTGCCCAGAGTCCCACGTGGACTTCCCCTCTGGTGCCAGCACCTCCAGATGTTCAGCCAGCTGTGATGTGCCATTATCACCTCTTGCCTCTGCTGTGTCACTGCTCTTCTCTCACCCACGTCCACTGGGGGCAGGACACGTGTCCCCTGTCACTGGCTCCACCCAACATGCAATCAGGAGCTGCATCCTCTGCCCTCCTCTCCCCTGGCTGTTTGCCCGAGGGGCTGGGGGGGCTGGCAGGGGCAGAACCGTGTTCCAGCCCCCCAGCGTGGGAAAAGGGGCTGTGGCATGAGGCAGAGAGGGGCTGGAGCTCCTCTGTGCCATATAAACAGTGTAATGAGGACACCGTGAGTGTGGAAATATCTTTCACTGGAAAACAATTCCAGATGATGCAACTTCCAGCTACTGCCAGGGGACTGAGCACAGCCCCAGAGCTCCCCAGCTGGGGCAAGGACCCAGGCAGCTCTGCTGGCCACTCCCAGGCAGTGTGGGACAGGTAAAACCAGGGCAGGTAAAACCAGAAGAGATGCTAAAGCTGTCCCATGCAGGCTGAGCCAGCCTCAGAGCCCAGCTGGGACCCAGCTCCTGCCTGGGGACAGTGACACCCCTGAACTGGACTTCTAGGGGCTGGAGATGGGTCTTGAACCTCCTGGCTGACATTCCTGGGGCCAGACACGGGTCTGGGGAGGTGCAGCCTCTGTGAGTGGGCAGCAGTGAGTCCTGGGATACCCAAACATCCCACCCCAGCTTTTCCAGTGGGACAAGTCCCTCGAGCCCTGCCTGGGTGCCCGGGCCGTGTCACAGGTAGGTGATCTCGATGACATTGGGCTCAGCACTCCCAAGGGGAAGGTGGTGGCTGCAGGAGCAGTGGCAGGTCACTCCAGCCGAGCCCATCTTGCCGTGGGGATCCAGGCACCTCCATTGTGTGAGGAGCACGGTGTCCATGTGCTGGGCCATGGGCTCGTGGCGCAGCGTGACCTGCACCGTGCGCAGCTGGGGGCCGTAGTGCACCAGCAGCACGATGAACACGGCCAGCAGCACGAAGAGCACCACGATCACCGAGATCACCGGCAGCGCGTCCGATTTCTTGCTCACGCTCCTGACGATGGACACGGGGGTGAAGGCGGCCACGTCCTGGGGCTCGGGCTGTCTCAGCTGGCTGCCGGCCACCGAGGCGTTCATGGCTCAGCGGGGTGACCTGCCATGGGGACAGGGTGGTGACCACCGAGCCGAGCCTGTCCCTGGCCTCATGTCCTGCCCTCGAGCCCGCAGCTCCCGCACACGTGCAGCTGGCAGGGAATGGGACGATCCCGTGAGTGTCTCCTCCTTCCCTCGGGGTCGCAGCACGGGGGAAGCTTTGGTGGTGAAGTCTGGGGCTCGCAGGATGATGCAATCCCTGCATCCCCTATCCTGGGTGCCTTTGCACACCACACCCGGCTCTTGTGGGGAGCCCTCTGCCCTCCCCTTTCCGCCCCCAGCCCCACGGGGGTGCTGATCCAGGACCAAACCCCACGGGGACCTCCCAGGGGGACCCAACTCCTCGGTAAACACAAGATCCCGTGGAGCCAGCACGGGTGGGAGCAGGGGGCAGTGGGGAAGGAAGGAAGGAAGGAGAGCCCTGCCACCCCCTACCCTCAGGGGTACCTGGGCGTCCCTGCTGCCTGGGGACCATCATCTCCGCCGGCGGGGCGAGCAGTTGGAGCTGCGGGCTGGCTCTCGGGGAAGGTGCAGCCGGACTCACCTCGGAAGTTGCCACGTCACGGCCCGGCCCCGCCGCCGCCGGGGCTCCCGGGGCACGCGGGGAGCGCCCGCTCATCCCGGGGCAGCGCGGCTCCATCCCGCCGCTGCCACATCAGCGCTGCGACCCTCCCGTCCCCCGGCGGGACAAGCGCCCTTTGTCTGGGGAGAAGCACCCTCCCTGCCTCCCTCCCCCCTTCGGCTGCAGGAAACCTCCCTGCTGCCACCGGCGGGGCGTGAAAATTGAATGCGGTGAAGGAATGGGTGTAAAAAATCCCCTTGGGCATGTGAGCTGTTTGCACAGCCCGGCACACCCACGCTGTGCTCCGGGCTGGAAGGGCTCTGTCCCCAGGGATGGCACAGTCCCGGGGATGATGGGCCCTGCCGGGGTCCCACTGCTGCAGAATCTGCCCATTTGCCAGCAAGGCTGTGGGGTGAGTCCATGGGGAGCTCTGGATGCTTTGGGCCTCCACTTCAATGGTTGGACTCAATGATTTTAGAGGCTTTTCCAACCTAAAGGATTGTGTGAGCTGCTGGGCGTCACAGGCAGGAGCCAGAGCCAGGGCAGGGCTGGCACATCCCTCCCCTCACACAGGTACATCCCCTGGCCCAGGGGTGTTGTGTGCCACAGCCTCTGCCCCAGCAGTGACCTTGAGCACATCACAGAGCAGAAAATATGGATCCCTCGGAGTTTCAGCCATTACCAAATGCATCTTCCCATCCTTCCACCCCAAAACACCACTGCTCTTACCTGCAGCTCTCAGCAGACAGGCTGGGGTGAATATTTGGGCTCTGTCCTTCCTGCACGTGGGGAGGACACGGTGGGAAATGCCTTTTCCCATCCAGCCGAGCATCCAGAACAGATTCAACTGCGTGTGAGCTTCTGGGTATTTGCACTCATTTCAGGATTCAGTAAAACCTTAATCTACAGCATAATCTCTGAGCATCACATCTGTGCAAGGGACAAAAGGATGGGGGGGCTGCTGGCAGGGGGTTTGTCCCAGCCAGGCTGCTGTGGAGGCCTCCAGCCTTGGGCCTGGTGGTTTTCCTGGGGGGTTGGAGGGGTTGGAAGAGACCCACGGAATGTGAGGAGCTGTGCCATGCACAGGGATCATTCTCTCCAGTGCTGCTGCTGTCTGCCAGCTGTGGGAACCAGGATCCTGCTGGCAGCATAGGACACCTTGATGTTCTCCATGCAGTGAAGGAGAGTCTCCTTGGCCTTTGGCTGAGGCTCTGTGGCTTTTGGGGGCTGTGGGAGGGGGCTGGAGCAGCCCCTCAGACCAGCAGAGAGAATCCTCTGGCTTTGCATCCTGAACACCCACACAAAATCCCAAGAAGGACACGGGAGCCTTTCTTAGGTGGGAACACCAAAATGCTTCTCCTCCTGCAAACACCACTGACAGCCAGCACAGGATAAACCAGAACCTCTGGGGTTCCCACTGTGACAGGCAGGACCTGCACTGAGCAGCACAACACAAGGTCAGGGCCAAAAAACCAAATCCCTGAGGATGGGATTTGGCTGGATGGGGCCCAGTTTTCCAGTTCCCGCCCTTCTCCAGGAACTGGGAATGGGGTAGATCCAAACCCAGCATGTGCTGTGTGTCCTGGAGGGTGCTGCCTAAAGCATCCCAAAGCCACCATGCCAAGGCCGCCATCCCAAAACCACCATCCCAAAGCCACCATGCCAAGGCCACCATCCTAAGGCCACCATGCCAAGGCCACCATCCCAAAGCTGGCATGTCCCAGCACCCAGACTCGCTGGGGCTGCCCAAGGAGGCACAGGGCAGACCCAGCTGCTGAGCCACCCTGGCCCCACAAGGAGCAGTTATCCCTAAATTCCTCACGGATTTATAGGAACCCCCCTCTTGTCGGAACTCAGTGCATCCCTCTGGGTGTCCAGAGTTGCCAGGGCCCCTGCCAGGGGGCTCAGAGACCCTGGCACACAGCCCAGAACACCTGTGGGTTTGATTATGACCTGTGGAGTGAATTGCCAGCTTTGTATGAAGACCTGATGCCACAGAAGTTTAAGTAGTGTAACAATAAAATTATCACTAGATGAAAAAGTAGATTTTGGGGTTTTTAGAATAGGAGGTTTGGGGACAAGATGGAGGAACTTGCGCGTGTCCAACCTTTCTTCTTCTTCTTATATACCTCCATTTTCTGCTGTGATGTTGGCACTTTGGGATTGGTTTAGAGTAGAAACTCACTGTCTAACAAAGGTAACAGGTATTGGAAAGTAATTGTAAACATGTTATACATAGCTTGTAGTATAAAGAGATAAGCCCACCCCAGGGGCAGTCAGTGTGCCTGGAATTGTCCTGCTGGACCTCGGCAGGGCAAGAGAAAAATTTTTATAGATAAGATACAATAAACAACTCTGAGACCAAGAACTGAAGAACTCCGACCTATTCTTCGAACGTGCGGGCCGAAACAGAGATTTTTCACATATCTTGGGGCTGCAATAAACTGCAACCTTCCGAGACCCTCTCAGGTGTCGGGGAAGCTCCTCCAGCAGCTCTGACCCAGGGAGGCTGATGTGGGGGATGGGACATCGCCCCACACACAAAACACCTCCCAAAAAGCCCCGGCACCGCACGGGAGCCGCCGAGGCCCGGCCGGAGCGGGGCATCCCTCCGAGCGGGACCGAGCCCCGGCAAAGCCCGGCGAGGTTTCCTCCGCCGCCTGTGAGCGATGGCTCACATCCTCCCCGGCCATAATGGGCTGAAAAACACAGTTCCCCTGTGGATTGAGCCCGTTTCCTCCTATTCTTTAACAGGAAGCTGTGTGAGAGTCAGCCCGGGCGGGCGAATCGCTGCCGCGGTCCCTCCCGGGATGGCCAGAGCTGCGCCAGGCTCGGAGCAGCGCGGAGATGCCGCTCCCGTCCCTCCGCGCTCTGCTCGGGCTCCTCCTGCTGCTCCCAGGTGAGAGCCAGGCTCGGACGGGGGATTTGGGGGGGTCCGGATTCACGGGGGGCTCCAAAGGCAAAGCTGGAGCTGCCGCTGCAGCCTCACAGCTCAGGGGTGGCAGCAGCCGGGCTGCTGGGGAAATCGTGGCTTTGTCAGGTTCACAGGGTTGGTTTGGCACTGCTGGAATACAAGGATTTGTTTGCAGCTTAATGAAAGGAGTGTTTCTGCTGAGGCGTTGGGAGTAAGTGACTTTTGTCAAGTAAAAGTCAAGGTGGAATGTTTCAATGTCCGGGACATTGTTTTCCTCAAAAATACTTTTTATTTGCACTTTTTGCTCTCATTAGTACCAATACAAAGCCCACGTGCAAGGCTCGTGCAGAGCACATCTCGTCCTTGCTGTAATAATTCTGCTGCTTTGGGGTAATTATTCTTTAACTTCTCTTTCCCATCTGAGTGGAGGTGTGGGATGAAGGAGCTGGTTTCCTGCTCCAAAGGATGACAGGTTGCTTTTCCCTGCATTGTCAGGCCCCTCTTCCCTTGCTGACAGCTGTAGTAGCTGGGAGCTGGAATACATTCAAAGGAATATAAAATAATATGTCTCCAACTCGAGGTTTTATCATTAAACCATAGAAGCTGCCTCGGGTTACAGCCACTGTGCTGGTAATAATGGGATTTTTAAAAGGCAGAGAATCATAGAATGGTTTGTGTTGGAAAGGAAAGATCATCTCATTCTGCAGAATATAGAAAGCAATTCGGTTTGTAGCTGTATAATTCCATGAAATAAGAGCACATGGATTGGAAATTTTCTCTCTTCATTAGAGGCCAACACTGCTGCCTTCAGCAGAGGGGGGATTTGTGTCTGGGATCAGAGCAAGGATCACACCAGGGGGCTCTGAGCGCCTTGGCCTCCCTGTGACACTCCTTAATGCCCACCCAGAACGCTGCTTTTCCTGTTAAATCTGCTCAGAAGGGCTTTTAAGGGACAGCAATGGCACAGAGGGGGTCAGGCCCCTTCCCTGTCTGGGCTGCACCACCCCAAGGTCCATGGATGGGAATCCCAGAATCTCAGAATCCCAGCTCCCAGGAGCACCAGTGCTGCAGCACAGGTGGAAGGGATGCCACCCTCCATCCTTCTGTCCTCTCAAGCCACCTGTCTAAAATCAGGGGCATCCCCCTCTATGCTCACAGCACTGTCACACCTCTCCCACCAAACCAGCCTTCCCTGGAATGTCCTGCCTCCCTCTTCTGCACTGATCCAACAGCCCCAAAATGGCTTTTTAATTTCATTTTTAATTTTACAGCAAGGCCCAAAGGTGGTGCAGCCTCTGGGGAAGCTTCTGCACAAGGCAAAGCAGCAGCTTAGGAGAGGGGCAGTCAAGCTCTGTGGTGCTGCTGGTTTCCACACCCAGCAGCTGGAAAAGGGAATTGGGGGCTCTGGAGCAAGGCTCCCTGCCCTGGGGGAGATGGATGTAACCTTGAGGAGACACAGAATCAGCTTAGGCTGGACACTAACACCTGCCTGGCCCCACACAGGCCTTTCTCAATTTTGCTTGGTGCAAATTCAGTATTTTATTAATTTAGCGTTTCCTAAATTAAATTTCTCCATTCTCATGGTTATTTCTGAAGGGAGGTTCAAATAAGGGAATTTCAAACTGTTATTTTGAAATTGCTGAGTTGGGAAGGTCTGGCACATTTCCAATTTGGTTTTCCTCCCCCTAGAAACACTTAGCAGAAAATTTATCCAAACAAACCTCTTCCTATAGACCCTTTCCATTACAATGGGCAGGCATTTCCCAGACAAAAGATTTCCACTGCAAATATTCCTCCTCAAAGCTGATGAAAACCCAGCAGGATTTCCCAGTGTTGTTGTTCCATCCACTGCTCTCCTTATCTGTGCCACAGCCTGTGGATGGATAATGCCATGAGAAATGTGGTATTTCAAAAGCACACATGTGTTTTGATATATATTTTTGATATAATCAAAAAGATGGGGTGCAGCTATAGGACAGGCACCCAGATTCCAGACTTGCATCCTCAACCCAGAGCATCCTAGAGCAGATTTCTCAGCCAAGGGCAAGACCAGCCCAGCCCTGAGGTGCTGCACAAGGAAGAGAAAGCAGGAGGTGGTTTGGAGAAATGTTTGCTCACACAACAAACTGCTCCCTTCGGTAACACGAAACCCCTCGGTGACTCTGCAGCTCTGACTGCAGCAGCTTCCAGGAATTCTGTCCCATTTACAATAGGTGAGTCAACAACAGGTGTCCTTGCAGGAGGTGGTGCTGCTGTCCCAAAGGCAGGAACGTTCCTGCTGGGAAGCCAGGCTGGAGAAGGGAGCTGGGGTTTCTGCAGGACCAGCAAAGTCCCAGCTGGGAGCTCTCCTGGCCCCAGCTCCCAGAGGAGCCCACCCAGCACGACCCAACCACCTCAGCAGGGGAGAAGCTCCCATCTGAGTCCAGAGCAGGCACCAGGATGGGCAGAGGGATGGAGCCAGGCTGGGAGAGCTGGGGGTGCTCACCTGGAGAAGGAAAAGCTCCAGGGAGAGCTCAGAGCCCTTCCAGGGCCTAAAGGGGCTCCAGGAGAGCTGGAGAGGGACTGGGGACAAGGGACAGGACAAAGGGGAATGTCCTTAAGCTGAAGGAGGGCAGCTCTGCCGATGAGGTCTCACCCAAGCAGGGCAGAGGGGCAGAACCCCCCCTGCCCTGCTGCCCACACTGTGGGGATATGAGATGTGGGCATACATGAAGAGTTAGGAAATGTGGGAGCAAAACCTGGGTCATTCACACAAAATCTGGACTCAGAGGAACTGTCAGGCCAAGATGCTTTACCTGGCCTGTGGCTGTTGCTTCTGTGAGACTGGAACCTCTTCCAGGCAGGGTTATCCTTCAAGTGCTCCCCTGGCACTCAAACCAGGACACTCAAGAAAAGCAGGTGGAAAGAACAGGAATGATGAATTTTTATTCTCTCTCAACACTGTCTGTCCTATTCCATAGCATTTCTAAGTCAGCATTTCTTATCTCAAAGTTTACATACAGAAGTATACTATGTAAACCTTTTATCAAGCTTTGAAAATTCTCTACAAATCAATTTCCTACAAAATCCCTTAGCCACCAGCCCCTTCCACACCTTGTCTCCTGAACCAGTCTCAGCAGATCACATTCCTGCTTGGTGGTTCATAAACACCAGAGAGCAGCACTCAAATAAACATAGGGAACCTCATATTCATTGGAAAGAATAATCAGTTTGGGAAGAAACTTGGAAAGTCCCCTCTGTGAAGTGCTTTGAGCTCCGCTAATAAATAATATTATTAAAAAAACTGTAGGTAGGCAAAAAGCACAGGCTGGGCTCTGGGTCCCATCAAGCCTGGATTGGTGGTGCCCCCATTTTTCATTTGCACCGGGCATGGAGTGATTTCCCCTCCAAAATCCCAGACCCACTCCAAACCTGAGGAGCAGCAGGGCCAGGAGAAGGACAGGACCCACATCACCAGAGCTCCAAAATAAACAGCTGGGAGGGTGATGGAGCAGCAGCCTGGTGGAGCAGGGGTGGTGCAGCCAGGAGAAAAGCCAGGCTGCTTTTCCTTCCCTTCACATGGAAAAAGCAGCCCTGGGCAGCACAGGGGTGCAGCAGAGCTGCTCCATGCCCACAGCTTCCCCACATTGTTTGTCTCCCGGGTTGTTTCTGCATCCAAGTGGGTTTTAATTGCCTCCCACTAAGATCTGCTTCCAGACTGGCTCACCAGAGAGGAGCAGGGAATGTGGTGCTTGGAGAGGATGCCCAGGCCCAGCCCTTGAGGACGGGCAGAGGAAGGCAACGATTAATTTTAATTGCTGATGAGATCCGGGATTAATTCCCGGCTCTCTAAACTTTCCATAACACTTTGACTGAGTCATTACAATTCCGAACAACTTGGCAGCCAGTTGCCAACCCCCCCATGCCATTTGGGAATTAGGCACTTGAACACTTCTGTGGATCTGGCCCTGATTTGGGCTGTCAGTTATCCACCCTGCAGAACAACATTTTTCCTCTCTCTCCTCCACAATTCCCACCCCACCTGTTCTGCTCTGAGACCCTCAAGGCAGAGACACCTTATTTAGGCACTTAATAAAACAGGGCCTAGGCTTTGGCAGGACTCTCTGCTTTCTAGGTTTCCTAAAAGAGGAATTTTTTTCCACATGGCAGTCCTAAGCACTGGGTGTTGCTCACTGCTGCTGTGTTTCACCCAGGAAACAGCTGCACCTGTGTTAAGTGGTTGGTGGTTTTTATTTTGTTTTGGGTCATCTGACAGAAGTGCCAATATCTGAGTTGCAGAGCCTATTTTTAGCCTGCTGGATTTCTTTCCTGAAAGCGTTTTCAAGCACAGGGTGACACACAGGTGCAGCCCTGCCCTGTGGGCTCTGCAGGTGGGACATCCCCCAAAACTGCCAGGGAAGGGATGAGTCCAGGTTTCTTATCACTGGGAATAGATGCTCCCAGTCTACAATTGCCAAAAGCAATACCAAAGCAGAAATACCTAAAATTCACCTGTCTTTTGGTTGGCATCACCCTCTTTGTGCAGAGGAGTTAGTGGGGTGAGCTGCTGGCTTTGGGAATATCTCAGCTGCCATGAGAGAAGGTTCCAGGTCAGTCTAGACACACCTAGCCCCACAGAAAAACAACTGCCAAGAACAGAAATGCAAAATTCTCCTGTTTACCCTTTGGAAAAATTACCGGGAGAGCAGCGAGTGCCGCGAGCACAGTGCAGCTGCAGCCCCAACCTGCAGCTCCCGTGGCTAACTGGGACTTTCCCATGACAGCACGAGCACAAAGCCCTGTTTCCCATGGTAAATCCCTCAGCCAGCTCCCAGTCCCCACCCAGAACTGCACAATCCAGCTGTAAATCCTTTGCACCCAAACACGCAACGAGCTCCTTGGCAGTGCTTGCCCTTGTGGAGGGGCTTTGATGTTTATTGCACTTCCAGCTGCGCCAGCCGTGTCCTGATTATTGCTGGGAGCTGTTCCTGCAGCCAGGGCTCTCCGTGCTGGCAGCAGCCCTGGGAGGGAATTGTTTCCAGCTCCAGGATCCCCTGGGATATCTGCAGGGAGCTGTGACACGTGGCACGTTGTGTTCACCCCATGCTGCTGCCCGGCCCCACCACGGCAGCTCGGTCTCACCCTGCCTTGCACAGATCCATCCTGCTCCTGTGGGACTGGGGATGCTGAGCACCCTCCCCAAAAGAAAACACCCAATAGAACAGGGCTTTTGCTTATTTGAGTTGGCAGGGAAGGCACAACAAGCAGCAGCAGCAGCAGCCAGAGGCCGGAGCCAGGCCGGCTGCGCTTTGCAGTGAGTGTGGATGTGTTTAGAGAAGGCTCAGCCATTTGTTCCGGAGCACAATGCCAGAAGGGATCTCCAGCCCTCAGGCTCTCCAGAGCAGGGCTGGAGATCCCTTCTGCATCAGCCCAGCCACAGCAACTCTGGGAACTGAGCAGTGGGAAAAATCTGCTTTTTCATCTTCTCTACAATAACCACAAAGTTTAGGTTTGCAAACAGAGAACTTGAGAAGGTCTCCAGTGTAACCCTCAGTGACAGGATGAGCTGCAGTGAAGAAAGTGTTGAGTACAACAATTTCTCCTGTCCAAGGGATGCTGGAGCTGGCCCATGGATTGTCCCATCAGGGATGGCAGAGCAGGACAATGTCACCTCCCTCACTCTCAGCTTCCTCCCATCCCCAGAGGCTCTGTTCAGGCTCTCAGATTTCTCCCCATCTGCACCAAAAATGGTAGAATAAATGTCCAGCTGAGCACCTTCATTTTCCCTTTCCCTTTGGCAAAGGCTGAATGCAGACAGCAGCTCTTTATTCAGCAATTCTGGTTGCTTCCACCATGTCCATGAAAAAGTACCTGGGAGCATTTCTATAAGTGTGCCACAGCTACTTCTCCCCTCAGGAAAACATGGCAATGGGTCCTGCAAGGAATTTTGGACAAAGAGGGGCTGTGTGAGTCTGGCAGCTGCTGGAGGATATTGACCCCCAGGACAATCTCAGCACTTTATTTTTTGTGCTGAATGTAGAGAGTATCTTAAGGCATTTGCAAACCAATGTCCAGAATCATCCTCCTTCCTCAAAAGAAGCATCTCTACCTCTTGAGGAAAAGCAAGCATGTGCCTAAAACATTCTTTTTCCCCATTATATTGATTTAGTAGGTGATGATACAGTTGCCCATAACCCTGCCTCTTACGGTCCTGATGCCTTGGGAAGAATGCCCTAGACTGGCAGGGACTGGACAGAGCTAAAAAATAAAGCAGGGATTTATTAGGAGGCCTCAGTGAATCCACCTTGGGCAGTACAAGAGTCCAGCCAGGGCTGACCCAAGATGAACCAAAATGGGCACAAAGTGGACAACTGGTCATGGGGTCTCTCACTTTTGTAAGCTCTGCTCCATTTGCATCTTGGAGCTCATTGTCCAGTTCCAGCTTTAGCCCATGAAGTCCCATCCTTCTTGTTTTTCTCTCTTCAGCCCACGTTGTTTGTGCTCTTGGGGCTGAGATTTGGATCATTTGTCTTTGGTGCCCAGCTAGAGAAGGAATTGTTTTGTCTCCCTGCTCTGTGCAGAGAGCTCACCATCCCATAATGTGAAGCTCAGACTTACACACTAAAGCAGCACAGAATCTGAAAATATAAAAGCCAAAATCTGAGGCATCACCCTGATGCTCTTCAAAACCCCCAGGGAAGGATATCCCATAAATTCTCCTACACAATCACTCCCAGCACCTCACTAGCCCTGTGCTAAGGCAGGTTCCTATTTCCCAGCCTCCCTTTTCCTAGCTGCACATAAAGGTCCTTAGTTCCTGATCCTGCTCCAAATGGACTTAGAAAATCAACCAGTCCCTTCCTCTTTGTGTGATTGAAGACCTGATCCTGTCTCCTCTTTCATGGATTGAACAGTACAGTTTTCTCAGCCTGCTGCCCAGTAAATCAGAAGAGAAAAACATGGAAAAGGTCTGAAAAGTCCAGTCTGATTGTCACAGCCAAGCCATGTCTGGGAATAAACCACATTTTATTATGTGTTTACCATGGTTTACACACTTCCTGTCTGGCTGGGATCATTGTCATAAAGCCTCAGACACAAAAACAATTACAGCTCCAGAGCAATTCCATGAGGAAAATGAGATCAATCAGGAACTCGCTACACCCAGAGGGTGCTGAGGGTGAGCTCTGAGCCAGAACCACTCTCAGGGCTCAGGGTCTCCCTCCAGACACCCCTTCCTGCCCAGGCCCTCAGCCTCCCCAGGCACCAGCAGCTCATGGACCTGCCCCTGAGCTCATCTCCATCATCCTTACAGCTCCTGCCATCAAATCCTGGAATCACAGAGTGGCTTGGGCTGGGAGGGACCCTAAAGCTCATCCCATCCCACCCCTGCCATGGCAGGAACACCTTCCACTGTCCCCAGGGTGCTACAATCCCTGTCCAGCCTGGCCTTGGGCACTGCCAGGGATCCAGGGGCAGCCACAGCTGCTCTGGGCACCCTGTGCCAGGGCCTGCCCACCCTCACTGGGAGAATTTCCCTCCAGGAGAGCGGGTTTGGCTGAAATGGGCACTGCTGTGCCCTGGCTGGTGCTGCCCTGGCTGGACCCTCCCCTGCACCCCTGCAAAGGCACTGCTCCACCACAGAGCCCTGAGGCACCATGAGGGGACTGTGCTGGCAGGATTCCACCTTCCCTGCTGTCCCTTTCTTCCCAAATCCCTTTTCTCCCGTGGGACTCTGGTGAGATGGATCACCAGGGCAGTCAGATTCAGCTGCTTTCTGTACCTGTGGTGTCATTTCTGTCATTAAACTTAACCACAGAGAGCACCAGGGTCACCAGCAATAACCATTTGAAAATCCCAATTAGGATGTGCATTCCAGCAATGACAGACTCAAAGTCACCTTCCCAAAGTTAAACCAGCTGGGTTGGATTTGAGCATTTAAAGTGTATTTACATTTTTCAGGTCTTGTCCTCAAGTGTGGAGCATTTCTTTCTCCCATTTTCAAGGGCAGCATTTTTAATTGCCATCTCATCTAACCCTTGGGGTTGGACTAGATGACCTTGGAACTTCCCTTCCAAACTAAAATACTCTGCTCTGTGACTCCATGAGCACAGGACTCCTGGAGCTGGGGGTTGAAACATCACAGATGCTGAGTGTGATGGTGGTCTCACGGGTCCCAGGAAGAGGGAAGAGACAAGGATCTGACTCTATGTTTCAGAAGGCTAATTTATCATTTTATGATATATATTATATTAAACTATACTAAAAGAATAGAAGAAAGGATTTCATCAGACTAGCAAGCAAAGGAGAAAGAATGGAATGATAACAAAATCCTGTGACTGACCGAGACAGTCCAGATAGCTGACTATGATTGGCCATTAATTAGAAACAACTATATGAGACCAATCACAGATGCACCTTGCATGTTGCATTCCACAGCAGCAGATAATCATTGTTTACATTTTGTTCCTGAGGCCTCTAAGCTTCTCAGGAGGAAAAATCCTAAGGAAAGGATTTTTCATAAAACATGTCTGTGACAGCTGAGAGTAGGAAATGTGAGGGATTGTGGCAAGGATGCTTTGTCATGAATCCAAAAGAAAAGCAAACAAATAAACCCCACAAAGCCCCCTTTCAGCTGAGGAGCTGGGGATCCAGTGAACACCTACAGCCTTGTATGGACCTGCAGGACAACCCAGCCCTACAGGGCAGGCAGCTCCTGAGGGCTGCAGCTCCCTCCAGACTCATTTTGCCAGGACACAAAGAATAGGAAAGAGAACAGTCCCATCAGCTCTAGAAGCCTTTACAAACCTCATCCATCCATTCCTTAAGGTATCACAAAGGGTTCATCTGTGTGTCTTACCTCTGAACAGCTCCAGGGCACAGGACACACACCCTGCTGGGCCAGGGCTGGGCTGAGGCAAACAGCTCAGGGGAGGGAATGACCCCATGGATTTCTGTGGCCCCCCTCCTAAAGGGGAGGAGGACGTTTATCCTGGCTGGATAAACTCCACTACTAATTTACTCAGAGCCTGACAGTTTTACACTCAGTAAAACTTCTTTGCTATTACTTCTCTGCTAATGCTTTAGGGGCAATCCCATATTTCTGAGTCATTCCGACAGAAGATGAGGAAAAGCCAAACTCCACAAGGAACAAGAACAGCAGTGTGTTAGTGACCACCACAGATCAGCAGCACTCACCCTCTGGTCTTTCCTTTCAGGTTCCACAGCTCCCACAAACTCCTCCACCCCTGCTGGATCAGGTACCTCTGCTTGTGGTGTGCTTTATGTGTCTGTTTGGATGTGGATGCATGTGGAAATGGGGGGATGCAGATTTGGGGAGAAGCCCCAAATGGACCCTGATTCCAAACTCCCATCTGCTGAGGGATCTTCTCCCAGGATCCTGCCTCTGCCTGCCCCATCCATCAGCAGGCACCCCCAGACCTGCAGGGGACATGGAGGGCACTGTGCCCCAGGAGTGACCTGCCTTGGCTCCCTTTGGTCCAGCAGGGAGCGAGGCTGTGTCCCAGGAAGCCTGGGGAAAGCAGAGGGATCCTGCCTGCTCTTTGCTCCCTGTTCCCTAGCAGCAGTGGGTCCATGGAGCTGGTCCCTACAGCCACACCAGGGACAAACCCTCTCCTCAGCATCTCTTGCTCCCTCACCCTTTCTGCTCTCCTTGGCTACCATGGTCCCTTTCTGATCCATCCTCCAACCCTCCCTGTAGGATCCCACAGACTGGAAATGTCACCTCTGTGCCTCTGCTTGTGTTCCAGGTCCATCCCAACCAACAGCACCCAGCCCTGAAGCCAAGAACCACAGCCCAGGTAATGCTCAGCTGGAGGCTGGCCTGGGGACATCCCAGTGGGGAACTGGCCTGGGGACATCCCAGTGGGGAACTGGTCTGACCTCAGTCCAGCTGGGCCACCCCACAGTAACTGGGGCTGTGCAGGGGACACAGGTGAGGAGGAAGGAAATTTTGGTGTCAGGGCTTCTGATCCTGCCAATTCACCCCACAGGGATCAAGGCACAGGTGTGAGCAAAACCAGGGGCAAAAAATCACTAAATTGAATAGGGAGAATGAGATCATCATAGAATGGTTGGAAGAGACCTTAAAGCTCATCCCATTCCTCATGGGCAGGGACACCTTCCACTATCCCAGGCTGCTCCAAGCCCTGACAAGCTGGCTGATCTTTAAGACCCCTTCCAATCCAAGCCTTCCTATAATTTGTGATATGTACAGAAAACGATCTCTCCAGCTCCATGTCTGTTAGTGTCCACTTCGATATTTGGAGACAGATCTCTTCCTGCTATGTGTCAGGGAAAAAAATAAATTTAAGCATAGCTACCCTTCTAGAAGGATCCCAAAAATACCAAGGAATAAGATCTCAAAAAGATCTCTGCTTCTGCTTCCAAGCCTTGCAAAAAAAAAAAAAAAAAAAAAAAAAAAAAAAGAGAGAGAGAGAAACTTAATCCTAAATTCTAATATTTCACTGAAACATTTGGATAAAGTGGAAAAAAAACCCACCACACTAACCTTGAAACCATTTCACCATTTTCTCAATTTATTGGAAAGCCAAGAGCAGCCTTGGCAAGGAAGTTGCCTATAAATTCCCAGCTGGTATCCACTGTTCCCTGCAGAGGGATTATTGAAAGCTTTCCCCCTCACATCTTGCTCTGGATCAGGGGCAGTTTGGAGCAGGCTGGGGCAGAGGATGGAGCCTGCAGACCACTTCAAGAGCTGAATTATTTGTGCTTGGAGACTCTCAGTGAATGAAAGGTAGAAGTTGGCATTTCAGAGCATTGGAAATGATCACGTGGTGCCAGGCAGCTGCAGGCAGGTCAAGTGTGTGGTGACAAAAACACCTTCACTTTTCACAGCAGGGAAAGCAGCAGTGGCAAACCCTGACTTTCTCCTCGTGTTTGCTGAGCTCTGCCAGCTCAGCATCTCCTCACAGTGAAAAGAGCAAAAGGAAATTCCAAAGTACAAGAGCTCCTTGACTCTGAGCAGGATGAAGGCTGTTTCCATGCTTCCCCTAGCAGATGATTCCTAACTCTCAAGAAATTTGAGCGCTCTGCAATAGCTGTGCCCTCTCCAAGCTGTTTCTGAGCTGAACCTTTTGAAGTAACACCACAATTTCTCTACAGAGCCATCAGTAAAATCAACACCAGCGACCAAACTGAGCCTCACCTCTGTGGGTCAAACTCCTACAGCCAAACCCTCCCCCACCACTACAACAACTCTGACAGCAATCACTGAGAGAGGTAAGGATGGAAAACTCAAATATTTGCTCAGGCTGGACCTGTTTGTGCCTCCCTCCTTATCCAAGCCAAACTGCAGGCATCAGAATATTGGGCCTAGTCCACACTGTGCTGTTATTCAGCAATTCTGCAAATATTGAATTTCTCAGAGGTTTTTTTGCTGAAAGAGCAGCTCATTCCAGCTCCCCAGATGGACACAGCCAGGCCAAGCCCATATGAGAAAATCCAGATCGTGTTTTATCAAATATTGGAGCAGCTCCAGTCTCCCCAGGCTCCCTCTCCCAAGCTCCCCCATCAGGTACACTCTGAGCTGAATCCACTCCTAGCTACCTGGCCATCCTGATGTCTGTGTGGAGGGACAAATGCAAATAAAGATTTTTACTCCATGGACACCCAGCAGCTCTCCACAGTGGAATCTGTAGTGGTTTCCCAAGTTAATTGTCCTTTCCCACGTTTTCTTTATCTAGATGATAAGTCCAGTGGAAACAGAAGCACAGCAGCTCCTTCTCCAGCACCTCGAGGTACTTTGTCCTTTTAGAGGCTAACAATAAGATCAGATCATTTGATGGCAATCATTTGCACAGGTTCTCTAAGCATGAGTCTTTTTTGGGGGTGAGCCATCCAAAATCACACCTAGTGTCTTTATAAGCAGTGATAAAATATGAGATAAATGCTCTTAACATCCTTGAGCAGCCAAACAATGGATCTATGTTTAGGAGAGGGAAGCCCTTTGAAAATCTTTTAAAATAAATATAATTTTGCTTTTGACAGTTTGCTTAACCCAATCTGTAAGCACAAATTAGAGAATTCAGTAAGAGTTTTCTCAGAATAAGGGCAGAATCCAAGTGACTGGAAGACTGAAATCTGACAGCTGAGCTGACTCTCCATTAAAAATTCAGCCCCAAAATCTGCAGTGGTCAAGAAAGTGCTCTGCCTCTGCAAGTACCTCTCAGATCTCCAACACAAGCAAGGTGAGGAAGCTGTAGTCAGCTGTGCCCACACAGATGCCCACCCAGCATGGCTGTGCCCAGCTAAGCCAGGAGCCCTTTGCTCAGAGCAGATTGCTGTCCACTCCAGCCCTGATTTACCACTGAGAAGCTCCACACATCTTTGACTAAAGATGCTGATGCTTCCAAAAGCCAGGTCTCCCATTGTGTGAGACCCAGCATTTCCCAGCGATGGGGTATCCGTGCCAGGCTCAGCAAACCACAGCTTCTGCCTGTGGCTAGAAGAACAATTTCAGAATTAAACAAAGAATTTGATGAGTGGGCAAAAAATTGTACAGCAGCAGACTCTGCTTCTCCAGACTGTTCTGCTCCTTGTGAAATGGCTAGATTTATTATTTCATGCCTTTTCTCCTTTTTCTTCTTTTGGCAAAATGCCATTCCAAATCAGGGATGTTTGCTGTGGGACAGCACCTGGGCTCAGCAGCAGTGCCAGGAGCTGTGCACACCTCTCCAGGCACCACAAACCCTTGGCCAGCCCTGCTGCTGGGAGCCTGGGCATGGGGAAGCAGGGAAGAAGGTCGTGCTTGACCTACAGATGATCTTGTGAAGCTGTGAAGTATCACTTTGAGTCTCCTGACAGGGCCTGTAGCTGCTCATTAAGGTCGATGCAGACACTCTGGCTGTTCAACAACAGCCTGGAGGCAGCAAAGGATGTTTTTTCTCTGTACAAGTAAAACACAGGGGCTGGCTTCACATTTCCTTGCACAGGCACTGGAAGCAGCTGTCACAAACCAAGCAGCTTCACACAATCCAGTTTATCCCACTGAGAACTGGAGTCCTTGCTTGGACAATCCTCTGTGCTGCCACAGCTAGACTACATATGGTGTACAAGTTAGCCCAACTCAAACAGGTTTAACTACTTCTAGATAACCCAGCATAGCAAATCCATTCACTTCAAGTCCAGGGACAAGCCAAACACTCAATGCACACCTAAATTCTGCAATATTTTTTCCCTAATCTGACTTATTTTAAAGTCCCAATGTTCATGACCTACAGCACATCTATAATCTTCCCAGCTCAGTCTTCCAGCCCTGCTTTGCTGTTTCCGCCCCAAACCTGTAATTGGGACTGCAGGCCCTAAAGAGTTCACAAAAGGGGATTTGAATTGTGGTTCCCTAGGTTTCCATTTGGACATGGAAAATAGGACAAAATATGTTTGGTGGGAAGCTTTTACTATGGAGGTGGGAGTATTAATTCCAGGTTTTCCCAGATACCACTGGCACTATTGTGAATCCATTCTCCTCTCCATCAATTCCTTTGGTTCTTGAATGTCACTGGAGGTCAATGCTCACATTCTGTGTCTCTCTGTGCAGGTCAGGATCCCATGAGGAATGAGAGCACCACAACATCAGCAACTCAAGGTGTTTCCTCCTCACAGACAGGTGATTCCTGCTCCATATTTTATATTCCTCTGCACAGCCAGCAGCAAGGCCATCACACAGCTGTCTTCAAGGCAGCATGGACACCAAGGATTTCCTGAGGGGTGATGAACATCCCATACAGCCCTTGAAAAGCCCATAAAGCTCTGCAGAACAGCACTTCAGGGCAACCTCTTGAGCCTGGGAACAGCAGGAAAGGTGCCATTATGGCAAAAGGTTGTAAAAGCAGGAAGGCTGGACAAATTCCCTCCTCAAACACAGTGCCAGTGCTGACTCTGACCTTTCCCCACTGGGGTCCCAGAAGGAAACCCTGTGGGTGCTCTCAGCTTGTCCATAAAAGGGGCCCCACCAAGGCAAAGATTCCACACAGGTCTCGCTCACTTTGCTGTTAATATTGATGGGCCTGGCCAGAATCCAAACTTGGTCTCTTCATCAAGTGCAAGTGAGAATAAGGGCCTCTAGGATTGCTAGGAATGCTCTTCCCAGTTGTGGAAGAATGACTTTTATGTAAATCTATCTTTCTCCCCTCTGTAGGCACCTCAAAACCCATCACCCCAACACCCAACTCCTCCAACCAATTGCCCAGTCCCACCCCAACAGATGAGAAATCACCGCTGACAGTGGCAGCTTTTGGTAAGGTCCTGTGCCACCTGGGGGGAGGAGGGGTTCTCTTTCACCAGGTGTCCTGGTTTAGGGCAGTTTTGGGAGAAAAAATGCTGGTTTGGACACCCAACTCCATGAGGCCCTGGCACAGGGTGCCCAGAGCAGCTGTGGCTGCCCCTGGATCCCTGGCAGTGCCCAAGGCCAGGTTGGACATTGGGGCTTGGGGCACCCTGGGACAGTGGGAGGTGTCCCTGCCATGGCAGGGATGGGATGAGCTTTAAGGTCTCTCCCAACCCAAACCATTCCATGATTCCAGGATTCTAAGTCCATGGGATTCTTAGCAGGACAAATTTCCTGTGCAAAGAATTGAATTATTGAGGCCTGATGTCAGTATCAAATCCACACTTGATTTAAAGTGTCTAAAGATGGTTTATGGGACAGATAACATCACCCACAGCTCTAGCTTGTCTCTCCCTGTTACATTACTTATTTATCTGGCTTTACACACTTTTGGGATAAGATTTACCAACTGTAGCAGGAACATACGGACTCTTATCAATCCCCAGTGTAATCAGCTGACTTCTGCCTTCCTGGCACTGCCTTACCAATTAATTATTTATTGATTAAGTATTCATAGCAGCCCTTTGAGGTTAAAACACAGGAGGATAAAGCTATTTGTTCTAACAACTGTTTGCTTCTCTGCCTATTACGAACCATGCTCACATTAATGAAAATATTGATTTCCTAGCCAAGTTTTGATGTCAATCTCTCTGCTGCTCAGACAGTTCTTTCCTCCATCCCCAGGTGTCATCAGCTTTGTCGTTATCCTGATAGTGGTGGTCATCATCCTGGTCAGCGTGGTCAGCCTGAGGTTCAAGTGCAACCACTCCAAGGACTCTGAAGGTATCTGTCTGAGGGAATCTGTGCTTCCCTAATCAACAAATCACCAGTTTCCATGTGGATCTGGCAATTCCTAAAAGATGCATTTGAAAAGCTTACACAGTGGTGGGGAGGTTTGGAAGCCAGACTGGAACATGGATTGAGCAGTCAGGAATGCAGTGTGACCTCCTCACTAGAGCCCCAGCCCAGCCTCATCTGGATGTGGTCTCAAATTTCCTGCAGCTCTAATTCCAAGAGGTGGGCAGCTCTTCCAGCAAAAATCGTGGAGTTTGACACTCTTTTTCCTTTAGGAATCCCATTTTCCACGAAGCAGTGCCCAGCAGAGGGCAAGGCTGCTCTGCAGCAAGGCCGAATCCTTCCTAAAGACCAGCAGGGCCAGCAGGTCCTGCCTGTACGTCCCCTTAGCTGAAGGGTTTTCTCTAATCAACTCCCAAGTTTCCCCCACAGTGTCTCCAATCTCATTCAGATTTCATTTTTACCCCTGCACAAAGTAATTCAGAATAGAGCTGACTCATTTTATGACTTCTCACCTCTACATCACCACCTGCTTTTCTCCCTCCAGACAAACAGAAACCAGGAACCTCCATGGTATCAGAGAGGTAAGGCTGCTCCTGCCATCCACATCTGATTGAGAGTGCCTGTTTTATCCCAGAGCTAATTTTAGCAAGGAAAAGAATCTGCTTTGGTTATTTCAGGTGGAAGGAAGCTTGTCAAGGCATCTTTGAGAGAGTTAGAAAAGCAAAATCAGCTTTGATAACACCTCATCCTCTGATAGAGACATAAATAGATCAATATTTAGGGGGCTCATCTCAAAGCTGAACTGAGAGAAGACTCCCCACCTTCCCAAAGCAGATTGTCTTCCTTGCCTAGCTAGAGCCTTGAGGTCTAAACTCGAGTTTCTGGATCTCAGAGCAGCCTCAGATATCTCCCAAGATGCCCATTACTGTTTCCCAGTGAGAGCAGGACAAAGGAGGCCCAGTTCAGAGACTTTTGGAAGAGAAGCATCAAGCAGAGAGTGGTCCATCAGAACCCCATGGTCCATCACTGCTATTCCAGAGGAGAGGCTGAATGTGGGAAAACAGCGGGAAACAAGAGCTAGGAGAGACCACAACATATTGCTGCTATTTTTCCATCTGATAGTTTCCTAAACCCTGGAAAGGGACACAGGGAGTAAAGTCTGTGAGTATTTAGGTGCCAAATTTGCATCAGCATCAGTGGTCACTAAATACCCTTAACGATCATGATCCAAGGGATCTGAGGCAGAACATGCCAGAAAATAGGACAGTGCCTAAGGTTCCCTGACCCCAAAGTCATCCAGCCTGCACTGGCAAGGAATGCTCATCCCAGCCCTCAAGATAGGAAAAAAGGGGAATTCCACCTTCCCAAGCCCTATAGATTGGCCTGAATCAGGACAGCAGCTCAGTGGGTGGTGGAAACCAAACCTGGTCCCACACACCAGCCTTGGCCTTGCCTGTTTGTCTCCAGCTCTCTGCAAAGAAATTTTGTCCCTGGAGGTGTCCAAGGAACACCTGGATGTGGCACTTAGTGCTCTGGTCTGCTTGACCAGGTGGTGATTGCCCAAAGGCTGGACTCGATGACCTTGGAGGTCTTTTCCAACCCCAGTGACCCTGGGATTCTGTGGTTCCCTCTCTTGTTTCCCAGAGTAATCAATTATCTCCTTTCCTTGGCAGCTGCTCGGCAGACACGAGCCAGAAGGGGAACAGCATCACTCTGATCTCCATGAAGAACATCAACACCAACAACAGCATGAGCTACCCCCCATCAGAAAAGGTTTCCCTCTTCAGCCTTGCTTTTTAGGGAATCAGCTGGGGATCATTTCTCTGGCTGGATAAGAGCATAAGAGCATGCCTTGAGGTATTTCTTTGCTCTTTTATTCCTTCAGAAATATGACAAAAACCAGCTGCCACCAAATTTCTAAAGGTCCAAACTGCTTCCAGTGAGCCTGGTGAAAAGTTTGAGTGCCCATCTCAGGTTTATCTGGGCTGGCTGAACTTTAGGTGCCAATTTTACCTCATGTACACAGGAGACACCACCTGTGGCCATTAAATGGGGAGGTCTATGAGAAGTTGAGGTCTCACCCTCCAGCTCAGCTTACCCACTCCTGCCCCTCAGGTGGCTGAAGCACATCAGGGCTCTCAGGTCCATCCCACATGAGGAATTCTTATCATTTTCAGTTGTTTTAGATTTGGGACTGAGTTTGGGAGAACACATTGCTTCACTGCCTTTGTCAGCCCAGCCAAGCCACTGATGACCACGTTTTGTTCTTTTGGCAGGTGCTATGAAGCCAAGAGCCCAGAGCTTGAAGCTGACACGTGACAACCAGCAGTGACTTTCTAGGTTCTTTTTATTTTTCCTTCAGGGAAAGAGCAAGGGTGGACTTTATATATAAATTATTATGTCCTTTCTGATCAGTACATTTACAGTAGTGTCCTACATAGCTTCCCCACCTGGGGCCTAAGGGCTTTCTCCAGTTACAGCCTGCCACACTCGGTGGTTGATATCTAACTCTATTTTTGATATGCCTTCAAACACTCAGATAATTCCAGCAGCAAGAAGCACCAAGGCACCATGCACTCCACTAATAAACCTCTGCCTTAGATGAATGGCCTTTATAGTCTGTGCCAGGCAGTCAGGGGCTCGTTAATCAGCATAGCCCCACGTGGAGCCAGACCTGTGCTTGGGAAAGCCTGATCCAAAGCTGAAGGCCTGATGGGACTGAAATGCCCAAGTTCTGGGTCAAATCCCAGCATGACTGCTCAGAGCCCCTTATCCCTGGTGCCCTCATTGTCCCCACAGCAGTGGGATGGTCACATCACATCCCCCTACCTCACAGGGCTGTTGTGAGGCCTCGTTAATCCCTGTCTGTAAATCGTTTTGAAAGCCATGAATTAAAGGTGCTGCTGAAATGCAAATTGCCATCTGAAACACTTTATTATTATGATTATTATTCATAACAAATGAGCTTCAGGAAGGCAGATCGTTATCTCCCCACGTGCTCAGCTGAAGTGTAAGGAACAAAGTCCCTGCATAGATCAGGGTTTATCTCAGTGTAAAATGGATGGCCACGAGCAGAACGCTGAGCTCCTTCAGCTCCTGGAGTGTGGCAGCCCAAGTTTGCCAGGAGAGCTTCCAAGGGAAATATAGGGTGGATATTAGGAACAAGCTTTTCTTATCAAGAGTGATAAAGTTTTGGAATGGTCTGCCTGGGGAGGTGGTGGAGTCACCATCCCTGGATGTGTCTAACAAAGCCTGGATGTGGCACTCAGTGCCATGGTCTAGCTGAGGTGTTGGGGCTGGGTTGGACTCGATGATCTCGAAGGTCTCTTCCAACCCAGTGATTCTGTGAATTCTGTGTGATCTCCACCACTGCTTCCCCAAAGCTTCCTGGGACCAGGAAGAGCAGCCCCTTGTGCAATGCAAGAGGCAGCTGTGATTTGCAGCTGGCAAGGAAATGTTCAGCAAAAAAAAAAAAATGCAACATTTTCAAAGCTCCTGGTAAGAGCCAACACACTTTTAACCTCTGACATCTTCAACTGGGTAGTTTGATAAGTTGTTTCTTAATAAATTAAGCTTTTCTGGTAACATTCATGAAAAGTAAAATGTTGTCACTCAGCCAGGCTACACCAGACTGGTGAATTTCCTTAACACAGAGTCCCAGATAACTCCCAATTAGATAGACCCAGACAGCTCCAGTTCCCAGAGAGACCTGGGACTCCACACATCAAGCAGAACAAGTAGATTTTTAGTGAAAGTAAAGCTTTAACAAATCTCCCCAGACGTCTGAGATTCCATAGGATCTCACCACTGCTTTAGTTTTCCTTCCTTTGACCCCTTCTTCCCACAGGCCCTTGAAGGTCTTAAAATGAGGGTGGGCAGGCCCTGGCACAGGGTGCCCAGAGCAGCTGGGGCTGCCCCTGGATCCCTGGCAGTGCCCCTGGACTCTGGGGCTTGGAGCAGCCTGGGATGGTGGAAGGTGACCCTGGCAGGTGGGATGAGGGGAACCACCAACAGCATTAGCAGTGATGGAGGCAACCAGGAAATGTCGTGTAGTGAGGGGCCAGAACAGGACACAGCCCTGAGGTGCCCAGCAGTGCCAGCACAGGGGATGGGCACTGCCCTGGCCCTGCTGCCACCCCAGGGCTGGCACAGCCAGCAGCCCTTGGCCTCTTGCCCACCTTGGGCTCACATTCAGCTGCTGTCACCGGTGTCCCCAAGGCCTTTCTTATGATAAATAGGGCCAGGAGTCCAGCTCCTTTAAAGAGGCCTTTATTAAAGACAGCTCTGGGTGGGGAACCCGAGTGGGTCACACACAGCGCCGCTGCTCCCACAGGACGATGCTGAGGAGGAGAAGTGCAGCTTTGCCTCTCAGCAGAGCTGGAGCTTCCCTCCTCACCAGAGTGTTGGTTTATAGCTTAAAGGTGGCAGGACAGAATCCAGCTCTGGTCAAGGGTGGGTGATTTAGTGCAGTTCTGCTGGGTTAAAGTCATAGTTTATGTGCTGGTTTGTTGTTTTGAGAGGGTTCATATAGTTCCCACAGCCTCTCATTTAAATTTAGTCTAGGTGCAAGTCCTCCTGGGAGCAGGGGAAGTGGTTCCTGACGGGAATGGATACAAATCCGGGGTGAGACAGAAAGGGGTACAAATACAGAGTATGACCGAGAGAGATACAAATACAGGGTAACATGGTAACACTTAACAGTGGCAACCAAAGGTAAGTCCTAGAACTCTAACATTCAATGTTTAACAACAGACCAACAGTTCAAATTAAGACCTTATCAGCTTCATTAACATCAACTAGCAATTACTACTCTGACGAAGAGCTCTCATCTCCAGGGTTTCATTTCTCACATTTCTGAAGCTGTTCCAGATGCCCAAAGGAGGGGCCGGGCTGGGGAAGGCTCTGCAGGGGCCACCCGAGGAGGGCTGAGGGCACTGGGCTGGTTCAGCTGCAGAGAGGAGCCCAGGGCAGAGCTCAGGGAAGGAGGGAACAGCTGCAGGGGAGCTTTGGGATGGACACCAGGGAAAGGTTCTGCCCCAGAGGGTGCTGGCACTGCCCAGGCTGCCCAGGGAATGGGCACGGCCCCGAGGCTGCCAGAGCTCCAGGAGCCTTTGGACACCAGGGATGCACAGGGGGGATTGCTGGGGGGTCTGGGCAGGGACAGGGGCTGGATGGGGTGATCCTGGTGGATCCCTTCGTGCTCGGAACATTCCACAATTCCATGACATTCTACCATTCCACCATCCATGACCTCTCGCTCCCCTCAGAACCCCCTCTCATGACGTCACATGCTTTTCCGTGACGTCACGCCCCGCCGGCGCCGCCGGGCCCGCTCCCAGCAGCCCCCGCGCACAAGATGGCGGCGCGGGGCGGCGGGCGGTGAGCGAGGGGCGGCAGCGGCCGCGGGCCGACATGACCTACACGGCCGAGCAGCTGGACGGGGTGCAGCGGTGAGCGGCACCGCGGGGCCCGCGGAACGCGGAGGGCGGCGGGGAGGGGCAGGGTGGGCCCGGGGAAAGGCGGGGAGCGGGCCCCGGGATAACCCCGTGTGCGCCCGCAGGATCAAGCGGTGCCGGGATTATTACGAGATCCTGGGCGTGAGCCGGGACGCCGGCGAGGAGGAGCTGAAGCGGGCGTACCGCAGGCTGGCCCTCAAGTTCCACCCCGACAAGAACCGCGCGCCCGGAGCCACCGAGGCCTTCAAAGGTGAGGGGGCCCGGGGGGCGCCGTGAGGGCAGCGCCGGTGCCGAGGGGCCCGCGGAGCCCGGCGGGGTCACGGACACAGCGGCGGCCTCACAGAACCCCGCTGCGGCTCGGCAGGGTTTGCATTTCTGTCTGCAAAACACACGTCTCCCTTAGAAACGATGGGAAATGCATCCCAGGTGTCATTCCCAGATAATTCTGAGGAGCTTCACAAGGGTCTGGAGGGACAGGACACAGGGAATGGCCTCTGCACTGCCAGAGGGCAGGGATGGATGGGGTGTTGGGAAGAAATTCTTCCCTGTGAGGGTGCTGAGGCCCTGGCACAGCGTGCCCAGAGCAGATGTGGCTGCCCCTGGATCCCTGCAAGTGTCCAAGGCCAACTTGGATGGGGCTGAGAGCAACCTCATCAAGTGGGAGCTGTCCCTGCTGATGGCAGGGGATTGGAATGAGGTGATCTTCATGGTTCCTTCCAACCCAAACCATTCTGGGATTCCATGATACTGAAGAAGGTTCAGAACTTGGAACTGACACTGACCATGCAGGAGAATTGGGTGTTGGTCATCAATAGCTACTCCTTCTCATTAATAAATTTTTATATATATGTATGGGAATATGAAATTGAATCCAATGTGCTGTGTCTGGAGTTCCCAGTTTTGCTGCAATGTTATTGTCTAAACTCACACATATTTCCCCTTTCCATGCAGCCCAGCACGAGGAAACCAGTGACTCATTCAGTGTGTTTAAACAAGGAGCTTCTGGAGAGCTGTCCTTTATTTGTTTGTGTTTGGCTTGTATTTGTCTATGAACTTGTTCTGTCAGAGATCAAAGAAGAAGATGAGCAAACTAACCCTCCTGAGTGGTTGGATGTGAGGTGTGAAACAGATGTGCCACAGCTTCAGGAGCATCTCAGGCAGCAGGAGAAACCTGTGATAGCCCTATGCATTTTAATTGGTGCCTGCAGTTATTAACTTTGTGTTAATTGTCTGTGGGATATGGAGGTGCACTCAGACCAAACTTGAGCTGATAAAATGCTCCATTCTCACCCAATTTCTTGGCTGAAGTGAATGTCATGTCAGTTTAACAATTATTTCAAGTCTCCCCATATTCCTGCACATTTTGTGTTTCTGCTGGCATCAGTGACAGCAGGAAGGGATTTCCATCACAGGTAATGGCAGGGCTGTTACACACCTTTTGCAGAAGTAGCTCAATCTTTGGTCAAGCACAAATTTCCTAGGCTTGTTTGGGCTTTTTCTGCTGCTCCACTTCCAGAAGTGTGAGCTCTGGGAATGTAACCCTGGTTCTGATTCCCTCTCCAGCAATAGGCAATGCTTTTGCAGTCCTGAGCAACCCTGAGAAGCGGCTCCGCTACGATGAACTCGGGAGTGACCGCGAGCACGTCAGCTCTGGCCAGGCCAGGCACTACAATTACTACACTGAGTTCGAAGCAGACATCACACCAGAAGAAATATTCAATGTGTTTTTCGGTGGGCACTTCCCTACAGGTCAGTACCTGGCTGCAGTGGCTTCAAAGGGCAGTGCACTGATTAACCCTGAGGGTGCAGCTGGAGCTGGGCCAGGGCAGGGCCAGGCTGGGTTTTGGGAGAAGGTTCTCCCCCCACAGGTTGCTGGCACTGCCCAGGGAATGGGCACAGCCCCGAGGCTGCCAGAGCTCCAGGAGCCTTTGGACACCAGGGATGCACAGGGGGGATTGCTGGGGGGTCTGGGCAGGGCCAGGGGCTGGGTGATCCCTGGGAGCCCCTTCCAACTCAGATATTCTGTGATTCTATAAGCCTTCAGGAAGTTCAGCTTCCCTTGGGACTGCTCAGGGAGTTGATGACACATTTGAAAAGAGCAGAAACCTGTCCACATTTCTGCCTCTCTTTTATTCCCTCCATCATCTGAAGCCAGTAATGGTATGGGAGGTAACACAGGGTGTGAATGAGAAGGGGTCAGAGTTGTTTTCCATCATGGTGGGACTCAGTGACCTCAGAGGTCTTTTCCAACATGAACAGTTCCATGCCTGGGTTGTACTTGAGGCACCTGAGAGCATTCCAGGCCAGCAGGGCCCAGCTCCTGGAGCTGTGCTCTCAGGGGGAGCAGGAGCTCCTGAGCCTCACAGCAGCCTGGGCTGTAATGGAATCACAGCCTGGGAGCTCAGCAAGTGCTGCCTGCCAGGAAAGGAGCATCCAGGGGCTGTGCAGGATCCCAGGGGCTGTGCAGGATCCAGGGGCTGTGCAGGATCCCAGGGCTGTGCAGGATCCCGGGGGCTGTGCAGGATCCAGGGCTGTGCAGGGGCTGTGCAGGATCCCAGGGGTGTGCAGCATCCCAGGGCTGTGCAGGATCCCAGGGCTGTGCAGCATCCCAGGGCTGTGCAGGATCCCAGGGGTGTGCAGCATCCCAGGGCTGTGCAGGATCCCAGGGCTGTGCAGGATCCCAGGGCTGTGCAGGGGCTGTGCAGGATCCCAGGGGTGTGCAGCATCCCAGGGCTGTGCAGGATCCCAGGGGCTGTGCAGGGGCTGTGCAGGATCCCAGGGGCTGTGCAGGATCCCAGGGCTGTGCAGGGGCTGTGCAGGATCCAGGGCTGTGCAGGATCAGTGACACAGCAATGGAGCTACACCTGGAGTAGCTCTGTGCATGTCTCAGCCCAGCCTTGGTGTTTGGATTTGTAGGAAAAACAGAAAGATCCTGCAAGATCAATAGATTAAAAGGAAATCTGAAAGTTGTGAGAACTTCAGGGGCCTTCCTGGCAACTCTAAGGAGTTGCTTTAGCACTCCTGGGAACTTTTCACCTTCAAGGTGTCACAAAAAGCGAGGTACACACCAGTTACTACAGCCTGAAGACACACAGATGATGAGTGGTGCATCTTGCAGCTAAGGGGACCTCAGATCCTGGACTTGCACCAGTGGATATGCAAAGCCAGCCCCAGCATGGTGTGTAATTCCAGCTGGAGTCTGCAAGTTTTCCATCTGTGACTGTGCAAGGAATTGCACCTGGATGTGCCCTGTGTGGGACATCACCCTTGTGGAGTGGGCTGGGAGGGACAGGAGTTGAGGACAGAAAATTGAGGAGCTGTGTGAAAAGTTTGGGTACAGGGCATGGCAGGTTTATCAGATTGACTGGCATGAAGGAGAAAATGGGAATTTTTAGCAAAGCAGCAAAGAGTAAGAAAATAAAAATATAGTTTTGTAGTAGTGGGTGTTGGTAGTAAACAAGAGTTTCCTCACTGGGCTTTTGAGGGCAGGTCTGTGGCTTTATTTTTACTGAGCAGTTTTCCTCCATGGATATTCCATGGAAAAATAGTTAAATTTAAAATGTTGAATGTGGTAAAAGTCAAAGGAGACTCCACTTGGCAGAGTGTTGCAGTTGTAATGCAGTGAGGCTACAAGTTCTTCACATAAAAAATAAATGCACATGGAACAAATGAAACTGCTGCCAGAAATCCTTGGAGAAATTTAAAATTTGGGAAAACTTTTTTTTCTAGGCACCCTTATAAAAGCCATTCTTCTTTTCCCAGCTTGATAAAATCCTGTCTGAGCAGTGTTGAAGGATGGAAATAAACTTTCTTTTTCCCCAAAAGAAACTTTGCTCCTTGGAGCCAGCCTGGCTTGGCTCACTCTTGGAGCTCTGACTGCACACATGCCTGGAGCTTGGAAAATCTTTGAACAAGCAGTGGAACAGAGGTTTTGACACAGTAGCAGAGGTCACCTTTGCCCAGGTTTCTGCAGAATTCTCTGGGAAACTCAAAAAAAAGGACAGGATAAGAGTATAAAATAATGTGACATCTTTCCCAGGGCTTAAAAATAGTTTTGCATTTCTGTTGTGATGATAAGCCACAGATTTCAATTCTCTAACACAAAGATATTCTGAATTTCAAAAGAGGAGAGCACAGCTATTATTAAGATATTCATATGGTGATAAAATCAGATCCTGAGCTTCAAATTGAAGCAGCAAATGCAATTCTTCCCTCATTTTAGATTTTTTAAAAATAAATCAACCACATTCTGTGTGCAAGAAAGAAAATCCCGAATGGTTCTACTTTTTTACTCTTTTTAAAATCTCTTTCTTTATTATAAAATAATTAAGTGAAATTATTAATGGCTTGAAGGCAGAGGAATTAGAATGGAGGGTAGAAGACCACATTCAGTAATTATGGGAGACCATCATTCACAGCCTGAGCCTGGTGAAGCAAATTCATTTTCCTGCCACAGCCTTGCAAGTGAACGTGACACGAACAGCATTAAAATATGAGATACAATCGTACAGATCAGAACATGTTTCTGCAGCTTGATTCAAATTAAGATGGATTTGGGCACACTACAATTTCTCTGGTAGGTTTTTTGGAATAACATTGTGCTGGTGTTTAATTCTGAGGTGGTTTGTACTTTTTACTCTGAGATCTCCCAGCTGTAATTCAGGCTGTGGAGTATAATTCAGTGGAAGCTGAGGAGTCCAGGTGAGCAGCAGCAGCTGGTGAGCTGTTGAAAGCGAAGGGAGACGACCCATCTTTGTTGACCAGCATCGACTCCGATTTATTGATCAAATCAGCCACCTTTTATAACAGTGTTAATTAACTTCATGCATATTGCAAAATTCGAGCTCACCATAGGTCAGAGATTACACATCAACCCCTCCTTTTGTTTTCAATACCAAGATTTGTGTTCTCAAAACTTACTTTTACTTTCCCAAAACATGCCAAAGATAGAATGTTCACCTGTTATGAGAAAACTGCCTGAGAACCCTGGTATGAAAGGTTCTCAAGGCCTTCATGTTTGTCACCTTTGCTTTCCCATACCTTACCCAAGGACAAGATATTTACTTGTTATTAAAAACAACCTGAGAACTTCTGCTGTTTACATAAACATGCCTGAGAACTCTTGTTGTTTACAGAAACAGGCTGAGAATTAGCTGCTTACAGCAGCCTTTTACTTTTCCATCAGCTGTATTTTTTCATGGCCTTTTTCCTTCAAGCCATGTCTGAGCAAAAATCTCCAACAGTGAGCCATGAGTCTGTGCTGGTTTCTTTGCAGGGAACATCCACATGTTCTCCAATGTAGCCAGAGATGCTCACTACTACCCACGGAGGCACCGGGAGCGGGCGTGGACACAGGAGCCAGAGGAGGAGGAGCACAGGCCACAGGTAGCCAGGAGCAGAGATCTGCTCAGCTTAAATAATTCAACAGCTCAGCAGGGTGAGGGATCCTCTTGCAAAGCCAGGACAAACCCTCCCCATGCTGGAGGGCTCAGAGTTCATCCTCAAGGGCTGCAGCCACAGTGGATGTTTTCTTTGTCACTGGGTTGGCTTTTATGAACCACTGCTGTAAAGATCCATTGTATTTACAGCATCTCAGGCCCTCCAGGTTCTGTCACTGAGGTTTTGCTGCTCCAGTGCTTGGTAATCCTACAACAAGTACAAATGGGGACTGGTGATGGATGTGGAAGTTGTGGCTTGTCCTCAAGGTGTATTTAATCCTTCAGTAAATGAGCACCCAGGGGCTGCACAGGCCTCTTCCAGCTGGGGACAGGATGGGCCTGGGACACATTTCTGCCTACTGAGACTTCCAGATGAGACACAAGGTGTCCTTTGTTGTCAGTGCACATACACACCTGCCACCTGCCTTGGCAAGATCTTCCTCTGGAGACAGTCTGTTAACCTCCAGGGATCATTCTCCAAGGAAGATGAGCTTTGCCTTGTGAGTCTCAGGCTCAGGAAAAAAACCTGGTACAGCTGACAGACAGCTAAGCTGGGGGAAGTGAATCCAGCCCCTCATTTCAGGGGAGACACTGAGGGGCTGGAGCGTGTCCAGGGCAGGGAACGGAGCTGGGAAGGGGCTGGAGCCCCAGGAGAGGCTGAGGGAGCTGGGAAGGGGCTCAGCCTGGAGCAAAGGAGGCTCAGGGGGCCCTTGTGGCTCTGCACAGCTCCTGACAGGAGGGGACAGCCGGGGGGGTTGGGCTGTGCTCCAGGAACAGGGACAGGAGAAGAGGGAACGGCCTCAGGCTGGGCCAGGGCAGGCCCAGGGTGGGCACAGCAGGAATTTCCCCATGGAAAGGGGGCTCAGGGATTGGCAGGGGCTGCCCAGGGGGGTTTGGAGTGCCCATCTCTGGAGGTGCCCAGGAAGGGCTGGAGGTGGCACTGAATGGTCTGGTCTGGGGACAGGGAGGCGATCAGGCACAGCTTGGACTCCATGGTCTGGGAGGGCTTTTCCAGCCTCAGTGATCCTGGGATCTGTGAATCCCAGTACTGCTGGATCAGGAATCCTTGTTGCTATCCCATGCCAGAGGGCAAAGCCTAAAGAGCTGCATATTTTATTTTCCTCTGCATAAGAAAAGGCATTTTAGAAGCCAGTTTAGAAAGAAATGGAAGAGCAAAAGGAAGCAGCAGTGTTTTCTCTTTGATAGTGTTTCCACTCTTTTGTTTTGCCAACTGAATCCAATCAAAAGCCCCAGTGCTTGCATCCTGTCTGAAGTTACACTGCTGGGAGCTCTTAACCCTTTACTGCTCAGACATTAAATGGAGTGCTTGGGCAGAGGCTGAGATCTTCACAAAGGGGAGCAAATTCAGAGGCTGCAGGAAAGCTGTAGGCACACAGGAACTGCAGGGTGTTCCTGCAGGATTGGACACTGGCAGGTACAGCAGTGCTGTGGGCACTGTGAAGGAAGGGGCAGGGGAAAAGATCATGGAAAGAAAATTGTGTTCAGGAGTGTTCTGATATTATTAATAAAGGTTATTTGGAAATTGCAATGTCTCCCCTCTCAAAATCCCAAAATACTTCCTCTTTTTTCTTCAAAGTTTACATGGAACACTATGATTGATAGCCTGGCTTCTGTGAACAGATGCCTTTTTCCATCTCTGTATTTTCTTGACTGCTAATCCTTGTACTTTTCAGAATTCATACTCTGCATTTATCCAGTTGATGCCAGTTTTCATCATCATAATAGTGTCAGTTATAACCCAGCTGATGGCCACCAACCCACCCTACAGCTTATTCTACAAATCGTAAGTCCTTTAAAATCACATTTTTCTGCTGCTGCTGTTTGCAGGATGGAGGCTGATGGAAGTTCGGTTTGATAACAAAATGCACATTAATGTTCTGCTCTTTATAGAAAATGTTACCAGTTTGTAAATAAGGAAATACCACCAGCCTACACTGGTGAGTTCTGAGCACTGTGAAGTTACCTGTGGGGAGCTTCAGTGCACAGGGTGCTGAACTGTGACGGTCAGAAACCTTCCTCGGCTGGTGTGGGATGGTTTTGCACAGTGATACAGGATGGGGAGCATGGATGTAGATCAGCCTCTCATCTGACCAACTCCCAGAATCTGTGGATCACCCCTGAGGTTCCTCTGGAAAGCAGCTAAAAAATGAAACCTGTGGTTTGCAGTATAAATCCAAATCATTTTTGGAGCATGAATTCCACTGGAAGCTCAACAAATCATTAAAGCCTTGAAATGCCCTGGTTTAACCTCTCCAGAGGAGCAGGGCCCTGGGGGCTGGTGGGCTCTGGGAGCAGCAGGACCCCCCCAGAGCTGCTGTCCTGGGAGCTTGTGGGGCAGAGGGAAAGCCACGTGCTGCTCTCAGCTCCCAGGGCTGGAGGGGAGAAAGAGCTGACCTGGGCTGGCCCTTACTGAGAGAGGAGTGGGATTGGCAGGTTTGGGGCAGCCAGCAGAGTGCTCCAAACAGTCCCCTTGTTCCCTTCTGGGAGCAAAACTGCTCAGGTCCAGCCTTGCCTGCTCTCCTGTGCCAGAGCAGCCCGGCACCCCTCATTGTTTTACCACACGATGTCAGTGTGAGGCCCTCAGAAAAGAGCAGGAGGCTGGATGTTTTTAGGGTGGCTTTTTTTTCCCAGGGAGTGTTTTTGCTATCTGCCAGTCCCATGTGAAACCTTCCCACGCTGCCCCCACAGCAGCTGAGCTGCTTTTCTTCCCCACCTCCCCTTCTCCTGGTGATGGGAGATAGTCAGGCCTGAGTTCACAGTTAGGCTGTTTATCTAAATCGTGGCCTTAAAACACTGAACAGCCTAAAAACCAAGAGACACTGGGGACACCTCTGAGATACAGGGAGGAGAAGGAAAAGAGGAGTCCAGGAAAAAGGGGCAAACAGGATTCTTTTGAGTGTAACCTTGGTGTTTTGGCTGCCTGCCTCTCTCTGTGGGCAGTGATTTGAGCAAAGGCCTTGGGTATCTGCTCAAATAAGGAAATTCACTCCAGGAGTGTGGTTTAACCCAGTGACTGTGTCAGAGGGGCTGATTCTACCTACAGGGTGTTTTCCAGCCTGTTCCATGCCTCACTTTGCTTACTTATGATTATAAAACCCTGAAGAAAAGTGTAACTAGAATCCCTTCTGCTAAGTTTTATTTCTACTAAAGGATAAAAAAAAAAAAAGGGAAAATCCAGATCCAACTGCATTGTTCCCTAAGTTTTTATAGATTCTGAGATATTTTCCTATGGTTGTAGCAGGAGGGTGGATTCTGTTTGTTCTGCACAGCTTGCTGTCCCTGAGATTGTAATTTCCTGACTGGATGGTTGAGGGAGCCATAATCCTGCAGAAATGGACTGTACAAGTATTGCTGTAAATATTTTCCTCTGGAAATGCTAATATGGAGAAATAGCTCTTGATTTTTTGAGGTCTGAACTGCTGAAACATCTGATTTCTCCCTGCTGCTCACACAGGTCCATAGGCCACGTTGTGAGCAGAGAAACAGAGAACTTGCAGGTGCCTTACTATGTTGATAAAAACTTTGAAAAGAATTATCAAGGAGCAGAACTTCAAGAGCTTGAGAAAACAGTTGAGAAAGATTACATAGACTATATTCAGACCAGCTGCTGGAAGGAGAAACAGCAAAGTAAGTTATTTCTGTCCCAAGGGTGTTTCAGGGCCTGGGGGTGGCTGTGCTTCACAAAGCTCTGCTGGTTTTAACCTCAGTTTCCAATCCTTGTAACATCTCAGCCTTGCACTGGTTTAAAGTGTCTCACATCTGCTCTTAACACTGAATTTGCTATTCTTGAGATCTATCAAAATCCATTTTAAGTGATTCTGAAAGATGAGTGGAAAGTAGAGTTCACCATTTGAGACACTTTTCCGCTCAGGTTTTATGCTTGAATAACCCTTAGTGATGGTTTAAACATACAACCCACCACATTTCTCTAGCCCTGACAGATTGCTAGGCTGGAAAAATCTTGAGACATCACCTATTCCATGTTTCCTTTGCTGGAGCAGAATCAGTTTTGCTTTGACTGTCTCCACAAGAAGTTTCTGTAACTTTTTCCGCAAAATTTCTCCAAGAGACTCCAGAGTGTGTCCAGGTGCTCTTGGCTCCCTTGCAGTGGGCTGTTCCTGGTATCAGTTTTCAGGGCATGCTTCTGTGGTTTGGTTGTTATTTGCATTTTCTATCTTTAGCTAAGTTGGAGATCATGTTTTTCACCATTTTCAAGTCTTTCAAAAACAAGAATTGAATGCAGAAAGGAAGAACACAGATGTGAGCATTCAGAATCGTTATTCTCACTCAGCCCTGAGTGGATCAGTGGCACAAATAAAGGCATGTTACCCCATATTTTATTGCTTGTTAATTGCTACTAATCTGCTTTGTTGAAGAGACAGCAAATTCCTGCTGTTTGCACAATGGTAAGAAATCAAATCCCAAGGAATAGCTTAGGCTGGGATGTTGTGACTGGTTTTATTCACGGATTTAATTCACTTAAAGAGCTCAGCACCTTCAAAAGAGTCAACACCAAGTAGTGCTGTGTGTAAAGGAAGCTGAACAAGTTGTGTGAGTGTTCAGTAGCAGCAGACAAGCTGCTTTCACACCCTGGTGGGGGCTTTTAATTGCTCTGTGCAGAACAGTCCTCAGCACACTGCTAAAAGGTGCCTTTGCACTTGTTTTCAGTTTCTTTACCAATTTATCTAAAGAGGACTCATTTAATCCTAAAGGAGAGGTTACAGTAGTGTTGCTGACTCCAGGCTCTTTACAGGTGTTTGATGGGAAGGTTTGTTTTAGCTTATTTTACATAAAAGTTACCAATCCTGCTTTTAAAGAGAAATTAAAAGATGTAGGCTCTGAAGTGAAAAAGGAAAAGAACATACAATATAAGACCATAAAAGCCAGGAAGTTTTTGGTGTGTTTGATTTGTGGGCTTTGAGTGTCTGTGGCTGGCAGGAGCAGCCTCCAGGGATAATGTGGATGTTCATACTCATAAATGTACACTTGCTAAAGGGAGAGTTTCTTTCCTACAGAAAAATCCCTTTAATTGACCTCGTGCAGCTGAGAGTCACCACATTGTCTCTTCCACAGAGAGCAGGAGCTGAGGAGAGCCCAGCCCCAAAAAGGGGACAGGGTTTGTGAAGCTGAGGGAGCCCAGAGAGGGGAGATGATCCAGCCTGGCATGCCAAGTGCCTGCCAAGCCGTGCTCCCCCAGAGCTTTGTACACTCAGGGGCTGTGTTAGTCACCAGCTGCAAATACATGCACAGCAGGCACAGTTAGCACAGCCTGAGGCCACTGCTGTCATTAAAATCTCACCTTTTCAGAGTGCTTCCCAGCCTGGCCATAGCTGAGACTGGGCTGACCTTAGGACAGTCATGTTTGTAAAAATAAACTCTGAATGCAGGATGGAGTGCTGGGGGAAAGTTCTGCAGATGCTGAGGCAGTTCTTAGTCAGCTGTTGCTGCACGCTGTTGGTCCCTTAATCCTTGCTGAAGTGTTGGAATTGGTGTGATGAGCCTCTTGTCAGTTGAATGTCTATTTATAGTCCATTTGTTGTGTTTACTGAGGGCACGTTTCCCTTGAGCACCAGCAAAACAGACAGAGATGAGTAGTTCAGGAACAGCTTGGGTTTTAAAGTCCTTGATTTTAAGACTTGAAAAGCATTATCTGGTGTCCAACAACCTTAAGGAAAACATTTAATATTATGGATTGGTTGTACATTGTTCAGCCAGGCAGTTCTACAGTGCTGCAGCAGACTCTCAGCAGAGCACTGTGTGAAAGTTGGGTGTGGTGTGGGTTTGGGTCTTCTGAAATCTGGGGCACAGTTGGGTTCAAAAAGCACATGCCAGGTTTTACAGGAGATGGTTCAGCTGGGATGGCTCAGTTGTGAAGTGAGGCTGCAGAGAGCTTGGGGTCACAAAGAGGCAGCTGAAAACCAAGTCAGGATAAGTATCACAGAATCATGGAATGGCTTGGGTTGGAAAAGGCTTTAAAGCTCATCCAATTCCACCCCTTGCCATGAGCAGGGACACTTCCCACTATCCCAGGCTGCTCCCAGCCCCATCCAGCCTGGCCTTGGGCACTGCCAGGGGCAGCCCCAGCTGCTCTGGGCACCCTGTGCCAGGGCCTGCCCACCCTGCCAGGAAGGAATTCCTTCTGTATATCCAATGGAAATATAGTTGGAATTCAATATTTTAGAATCTCCTTGAAGAAAAGGCTTCAGAAAAGCCACTCTGTGATAGATTGAAACCCACAAGGAGCAAATGTGATGGAATGAACGCTGTCAAAAGTGCAGGGAATAATTTTCCTCAATTGGATAAGTGTAAACTGAGATTCTCCACTGCACAACTCCAGGGACTCTGGGCTCAGGGACAATTACCTGAGCCTGGTTTTTACTGGAGGCTTGACAAGGCTGTGCCCAGCACTGCTTGATTGGTATTTTGGTTATAAACCTGTAAATGGATTCCTGCTCTAAAATGAGCTGTTCCTGCCTGTCAGTTTGTGAAGCTTTTCAGTGAGTGGGAGGAGGGTTAAATGGCTTTAAATTTCAGTGGGACAGGGACAGAGGACGTAAGGCATGAAAGGATCTATTGAAGTTCTTTCCACTCTGAATAATTTTGTAAAATGAGGGGCTTGTAAGGTGTATAAAAGCTCTTTGAAAAATGGAGTGTCATCAGGTAGCCTGTGCTTACGGAGATGTTGACCTTTTCAGAAGTAAATTACTGCTGTTCTCCTCGGTGCATCTAATCCTGCAGCCAAATTATTCTGCAGGGAAAAACCTATATTAAGACTTCCTCAGCTAATCAGCAAAAGCAACTTCTCTGAATTACTGGGAGGAAATAATTTAAACAATGGGATTATTTCAGTTTTATGTGGCTTTTGAGAAGAAGGGGAACAAAATGCAAAGTACATTTGAGATTGTTAATGAAAGGGCAGGGAGGCCTTTCAGACGAGTCCCTTGGGTAGCTGTTCACCTCCCTGGCTTCAATACCCACCAAAATTAAAATTTAAAAGTGCCACAAGAATAACCAAGCACTTAGAAACAGTTCTTTAAAGGAGGCTCAGGACTTCATCCTAATACATTTTCTTTTTCATCTTTCAGAGTCTGATTTGTCCAATTTGGCCAAGCTCTACAGAGATGAGCGGTTAAAACAGAAAGCAGAGTCCCTGAAACTTGAGCACTGTGAGAAGCTCTCCAGTCTGATTGGGATGCACAAAGGGGGCTGACCAGGACGCACACGTTCCATACTTTTTATTTATTGCTGGTTTAACTTATGTTTTTATTTTCCTCCGTGTGAAAAGGAAGGAGTCTGTTGTAAAGAGTGTGGATATTGGAGTCCTTCTGCAGGCAGTGCAGAGAGGGGCTGGCACAAGCTGCAGGGCTGCTGTTTGCTGTAATATATCTTGTACATTAGATTTGGGTCCAAGGACCACTGGCACTTTGTAAATTCATTCCCCAGGACACGCTCTGAGCTCAGACCCAGCTGCCTGGGTGGTTTGTCTGCCATCCAGGCTGTGTGTGCTTCCCAGGAGAGCAGGCTCCCCTCTGCTTCCCGTGTTTCCTGTGGATCTGCAGCTCCCTGGATCCCCAGACTGTGCTCTGGTGTCACCTCCCCCTGTCCCTCCTGGCTGTGCCGCAGAGCTGGGGTGGTTCCAGTGCAGGGGGGACAGTGGGAGGGACAGTCCCTGCCTGAGGGCAGCCCCAGAGCACATTCCCAGCTCTCCCATGCTGCTCCAAGGGAGGGCTGTGCCCATCCTGACACCAGCATGGGAGTCTGGGCATTGCACCCATTCCAGTGTCTGCCACACTGCTGGGAAAGCAGAACTGTGGTCATTCCCTCCTCTGTTTCCAGTGGCATATTTTGAAGCTGGCTATTCCATTCTGGTTTTTATCTGCACACTCCCCCAGCTCTCCCAGGATCCTGCATTTTCCGGTACAGTTCTCATGTAGCATATTTTTACTCTGTTGAGCAGCTATGAATGTTTCACTGTAGACATGATATCGCAAAGAGAAAAATCCACGTGGCAATGTCCTGTTTTTTCTTGATCCTCCTTCACACAGCCAGGCCTTGAAGGGCAGGTTGATGCTGGGTTGTCCTGGTGAGCAGCAGACCAGTGTTAGAGCAGTGTTAGAGCAGTGTCAGAGCAGTGTTGCTCCAGTTGAGCACCATGAACCCCCTGGGGCAGTCTGGTGTGTGCCCTGCATGGAACGAGCTGCTCTTCCAGGGAATTCCTGCCCTGGGTGGAGGCTCACAGAGCAGCACTGATCCCCTCTGGCCCTGGGAGTGGGAGTCAGTGACACCTGAGCAAGGCTCTGCTGTTGCCACAGCCTGAAACTCGAGTCACACAGGATGCACAGGTGGCCTTGGCTGAAACCTAAGGAGTGACTGCTCAAAAGCTTGGGAAATGCCAGGATTAAGGCTGCCTTTAAAGCTCAGCCTGTGTGCTGGGCACTGGTGCAGGGGTGTAGGAGTCCCACTGGATGGAAGTGGGGATGTTGGTGCCACAGTGTGTCCCCATGTCCCTGTCCCATCCATACAGCCCTGGGAGGTTTGGCAGGAAAGGAAGCTGGGAAAAAAACCCCTTTTCTGGGTTTTCTGGGGTCTGCACGAGGATGAGGGGTTGTTTGAGGCCTGGTGCTTCTGCACACAAGCCCTGAACATCCCAGGAGAGGAGGAAAACAATCCTGGGACAGCAGCAGTGCTGTGGTTGGATGGCATAAAAAGGAAAAAAAATGACACAGTGACTCTAAATTTCATTTTTATGCCCCATTTGTAGGAAACTGTGTAGGAATGTGGGGAAATTGAGTTAAAATTTTGGGGCACCTGGAACAGGAAAAGCACCAGTGAAAAGGGCATTTTGAGGGGGTTGGTGTGGAACATTCTTGGTGCCAGGGTTTAAGGGCAGGAATGGGTGATGATTCCAGGTTGGTGGCTGGCACAAGCAGGCAGCCTTAATGCTGGTATTTCCCACTTTTCAGCACATGAGTGTACAAAACTGAAAATAATGTTGCTTTTTATATAGTAAATAGCTTGTAGAATATATTAGGAATCTATTTAAGTGGTTGGACTTTGTTCCAGGGTTGGAATCTTCCCTGCCATTCCTGTGTGACTGTAGAGGGATGCAGGTAGGGAGACCAAATCTGGCCATTTCCTGGACTCACAGTGTCCTGCACGGAGCTTGAACTCCTCCACAGCATTTTGCACTGAAACCGGATTGTACCTTTCATCCAAAGACCTCGAGTACTTGATGGAGAGCGCCTGTGGGAAGCACAGTCAGCTGGGAAACGCAGGAGGGAGGTAAAAACATCCCCAAAAGCAATAAGTGTTTTGTTCCTAGCCAGGGTCAGGGTGCTGGTCCTGGCGTGTGCTGTGAGGGAGGGTGTGTGGCTTGGGACCTCTGGTGACAAACAGGACACGTTGTGTTTGTTGGTGCTCCTCAGGGAAAAGGAGAATCCTCTCTGGAGCCCAGTGTGGAAATGCATCGCTGTCCTTCTCCAGGGGGTACTTGGGGTTCTTTGTGGGGCTCTGACGGGAGGAGAGGGTGTTCCTGGGTGCACCAAGCGCTTGAACGTGGGTTTGTGTGTGTATATATATTTATTTATTTTTAAATAAAGATGTGACATCGCTGTGCCTGTCTGTGGTGGTCCGAGCCTGGCGCCGGGAGGGTTGTGGGAGGTGGCGGGGCCGGGGAGGAGGAGGTGGCCGCCATTTGCTGCAGGGTGCGGGACATGGCCGAGGGTTTGGGATTGGGATTTGGGATCGGGATCGGGGACCGAGCCCTGCCCCTCGTGTGAGGGGCCGTGTGGGCGGGGCCCGCGCTCCCGCCCTCATGGCAGGGGCGGGGTCTGGGCGGGCCCCGCCTCGCCCCGCGGCCTGCACGTGACGTGGGACTCGGCGGGAACGTGATCGGGAACGGGACACGGGACTGAGGGCTGGGAATGGAACCCGGGACTGGGAACGGGACTGAGGGCTGGGAATGGAACACGGGACTGGGAACGGGACTGAGGGCAGGGAATGGGAACGGGACACGGGATTGGGAGCGGGACTGAGGGCTGGGAATGGGACATGGGATTGGGAACGGGACACGGGACAGGGCTGGGAATGGAACACGGGACTGGGAACGGGACACGGGATTGGGAGCGGGACTGAGGGCTGGGAATGGGACATGGGACACGGGACTGGGAATGGGACACGGGATTGGGAACGGGACCGAGGGCTGAGAATGGGACAAGGGATTGGGAACGGGACATGGGATTGGGAACGAGACATAGGATTGGGAACGGGACTGGGAACGGGACTGAAGGCTGGGAACGGGACCGAGGGCTGGGAATGGGACACGGGATTGGGAAGGGAACAGGGAATGGGGCAGGAGCAGGGAACAGGACAGGGGGCTGGGAATGGTGCAGGGGGGTGTGAACGGGGCTTGGAATGGGGTAGGGGGCTGGGAACGGGACAAGGGAGCTGGGAATGGAACAGGGGGGCTGGGAGCGGGGCTGGCCGTGTGGTCCCGTTCCCCGCTCCCGTTCCCAGGTCGCCCCTGCCCGGCCTGTCCCAGCCCGGCCCCGCTCTCTGTCCCTTGGCTCGGGGCCCGCAGCCCTGCCCGGGCATCGCCCCTGTGCCCCAGCCCCGGGACAGCCTGGCACGGGGCCGGTGGGTCCCTGTGTCACACCGCGCCCGGGGCTGTCCCGGTGCTGCTGCCGTGTCCGGATGCCCCGGTCCCTGCTGAACGGAGGCGGCTCTGAAAGCCCCTGCCAAGCTGGGCCGGTGTTTCCTGCTCCTCCGGAGCTGCAAAAAGTAGCTCCAGCGTGGGAGAGGCACATCCTGCTTTCAGCAGCTACCAGCAGCCTTCCTCCTCCCCCTCCTCCTCCTCCTCCTCGCTGCCCGTGCCAGGCTTGCCAGCACTGAGCTGAGCACGCACCGAGCTGGCACGAAATCCAGGTTAATAAGCAAATGCAGTGGTGAGGCTGCAGGCAGTATCACGCTGGCTTAAACATAAATGAGCGTTTAATTAGCAAGTGTGGCTCAGCCGGGGTCCACCCGCTGTTCTGTAACGTTTGTGCCCCGCAGGCACAGCCCAGCCTGCTCTGGGTGCTGGAGGTGCTGGGTGGGTTTCGTGTGGCAGGAGGAGCCCAGGGGTCTCTCCATGGCCTCCACACCGAGGGACAAACCCGGAGCAGCAGCAGGAGGAGGTGCAGGTGTGCAGCGTGCCCTGGGCTGGTGGCAGCCAGGGGCTGCAGCCAGGGCAGTGACAGCAATGCCCGGCCAGTTCTGCTGCTCCCACAGCACCCCCAGAGGGTGTTCACAGCATCCTTGGGATCCCACAATCACAGACTGGTGTAGGTTGGAAAGGCCTTTGGAAACCCCAAAGGCCATTCCCTTCCACCCCTGCCATGGCAGGGACACCTCCCACTGTCCCAGACTGTTCCAGCCCCAGTGTCCAGCCTGGCCTTGGGCACTGCCAGGGATCCAGGCGCAGCCACAGCTGCTCTGGGCACCCTGTGCCAGGGCCTGCCCACCCTGCCAGGGAACAATTCTTGCCCAATATCCCACCTAAATCTGCCCTGTATCACTATGAAACCATTCCCTGTGTCCTGCCCCTCCATCCCTTGTCCCCAGTCCCTCTCCAGCTCTCCTGGAGCCCCTTCATGCCCTGCAAGGGGCTCTGAGCTCTCCCTGGATCCTTCTCTTATCCAGGTGAGCACCCCCAGCTCTCCCAGCCTTTCCCCTGCCTCACTCCAACACTCGTGCTCGGCACAGTCCTTGCTGCCGCTGCTGTGACACTCAGGTCCTGCTAAGACCACAATGGTCACAGGGACAACAGCTGTGACAAGTGACACAACACCACTGGAGGCTGCGACAGTGGCAGGAGAGCAGCACTGGACACCTGGCTGTGGTGTCCACATGCTGTCCATCCCCTGTCCATCCCCTGTCCATCCCCTGTCCATCCCCTGTCCATCCCCTGTCCACCCCTCTGTCCATGCCCTGTCCATGCACTCCCTGGCACTGCTGTGGGTGCTGTGGGAGCTGGGCTGGCCCCAGACACCCCCTGGAGCCCCGTGGAGAGCAGGGCCAGGGATGGCGACCCCAGCACTGCCCTGGCAGTCTGTGCCTGCACCTGACCATGGAGAATGGGATTTGGGGGTTTGAAACCCCACATCCACACTCCTTCTTGCACAAGGCCACCCCACCAGTGAGCACTGCCCACAGCGGGTCCCCTGCAGTCCCTGTGGGCACAAATGCCACCTGCAAGCCCAGCCCAGCTCAGCAGGGAAGGGTTAAGTGCCAGCCCAGCTCTACGGGAAGCTTTCCTCTCCTCCTTGCCAAGGTTTAATTTTAGTCCCCACATGAACCCAGAGGACGTGGGCATCGGGTTGCTCTGGGACTGGCAGCACTGGGGAGCACCTGCTGCTGCTGTTTCATGGCAAAAATTCCCCCAAAAGCTGGGACTGGGCTGCACCAGCAGCACTTGGGCTGGGCAAGCTGCAGAGACCCTCATGTCACCCCAGCCACCCCACCACTGGCTTGGAGTGTCCCCAAAAAAGACACATGGCTGCAGTCCTTTGGTCAGCTCCTGTGAATCCCAGCGCTGCTCCGTGCCCGGACTGATCCCAAGCCTTGAGTTTGCTCCTGGCCGCTTGGATTGGCTGTGGGGGAGCTCCTGCTTGGGGCAGGGTGTGTTTAGGGGAAAGCCCGGCTGGACACACCATTGCTGTGGCACGGGAAAGGAGCCGTGGTGGGGATGGAGCTGCAGCTCGGGGTCCTGCCGTGCCCTCAGCACCGCGGATGGAACATCCCCAGAGGGGTCTGCGGGTCCAGGGGCAGCCCAGGCCCTTCCGTGGGGTCACACCCGGGTGCCCTGGGATCTGTATGGGGTGCCCTGGGATCTGTATGGGGTGCCCTGGGACCTGTATGGGGTGCCCTGAGACCTGTGTGGGTGCCCTGGGACCTGTGTGGGGTGCCCTGGGACCTGTATGAGGTGCCCTGGGAGCTGTCCTGCGCTCTGGGGAGAGCGGGGCGGGCTGAGGGGCAGGGATGAGCCGGCGGCCCCCGGCAGGTCCCCGAGGCTGGGGGCGGCGGTGGCATCCCTGCAATGCGCTTGGCATCGGCTGCCCCGGCTGGCGCTGGCCGGGTCCATGTGATCCGGGCTTGCTCTGAGCCGCCGCCGGCTGCAGCCGCCGGGACGGGAGGGAGGCACAAGGTCGATCCAGCGGCCCCGGCCCCGAGCAGCGCTCCCCGGCCCCGGCCGAAGCCCCCGCGCTGCTCGCTGCCACCATGCCCCGCGGGAAGAGGGAGCCGGTGCTGCTGAACCCCGCCGAGCTGCCCGGCCCGCAGGCCGAGGGTCCCCGCGGGGCTGGGGACGGCCGGCGCTCCGCCGAGGAGGAAGAGGAGGAGGAGGACGGACGCCTCCCGGGGCTGCCCCGCGACGACCTCACCAAGAGCATGTCGAGCTCCTCCTTGTCCTCCTACCACTCCGCCCTGTGCTCGGACGGCACGGAGACCTTCAAGGACTGCCCGGAGTTCCCGGACGAGGAGGGATCGCCCGGCCGGGCTGCCCCGGCCCGCTGGGCTCCGGCGGGGGCCCCCGGCGCTCCCCCGCCGCCCGGCCCCCTCGCCCGCCCGCAGCGGGCTCAGCTGTCCAGCGCGGCTAAGAATAGCCCAGCGCCGGGCCAGGGGGGCAGGATGGGTCCCCTCGGCGGGGACCGGCAGCCCGTGCCGGCCGCGGCCGCCGCCGGGGAGCCGGCCGTGCCCCGGCAGCCCGGGCCGATGCTCGCCGGGGCTCCCAGCGACTCGGACGAGGTGGACGGCGAGGTGCAGGCGCTGACGGCCAGGGCTTTCCGCAGCCTCTCGGGGCTCCCCGGAGCTCGCCTCGACATGTGCAGCTCCCACACCTCCTCCAGCCTCTCCAACTCGCTGTCCGAGGACGGCGGGCGGCCGCGGCGGTGGCCAGCGGGCGCCGGGGAGCCCCGGGTTGCGGGGACAGCTCTGCACGGCAGGGTGGGATGGCCTTTCCCCGCCGGCGTGGACGGGGAGCTGCTGGGCAAGGAGCAGTTCGAGTGCGTGGACGTGGAGCTGGAGAACGGCGAGGCCAGGAAGGGCCACGGCAAGAAGAGGACGGTGCCCAAGCGCCAGATCCTGCTGAAGAGGAAGGAGAGGAAGGAGACGGGCTTTGGCCCGCGGGGGGACGGCCCAGCGCCCCAGCCCCCGGCCAGGAAGGAGCCCCCCAGCAAGGGCAGAGCTGTCGGCGAGGACTTCAGGTTCAACTACCAGCAGTTCATGAAGGCGGCGTCCCTGGAGGCCGGCACCGACAGGACCAGGGCGGCCTCGTGCCTGGTGAAAAACGTCCTGGCCAAGAAGATGCAGTACGAGCAGCGCATCAAGATGGAGCAGAAGGGGCTGCGGGGCAGCTCGACCTCCTCGGGGCCGTCCTCGGCCGGCACCGACCTGCTGGGGGATGCTCTGGAGGGCAAGTCCAGCTCGCTGTCCCGCTCGGACTGCAGCTTCTCGGCCGAGGACCTGCGGGGCGGCGGGATGCCCAGGGCGGCCGCGGGGAGCGCCGCCACCACCACCCATCCCACCAAGGGCGTGGTGCTCAGCGAGGCGACGAGGGAGACGGTCTGCAACCTGAGGAAGACGTTCAACGAGCTCAACCAGAGGATGAAGTACCAGGAGGTGCTGGAGGGCCGCTGGCTGCCCGCGGCCGCGGAGGAGCACACGTCGGAGAGGATCTGCTACCAGCGAGCCCGCGCCCTGTTCGAGGCCCAGCCCGGGGTGGGGAAGGTGCTGGATGTCGCCCCACGGTTTGCGAGGGCGCCGAGGCCGTGGCCCAGCTTGAAGGAGCGAGCCATCGGCCCCATCCATTCCCAAAGCCTCCCCTTCAAGGCCGAGAGCCGGGCGCTCCCCTCCGCCCCGCCGCGCCGCCCCTTCGCTTCCTCTCGGGCTCATGAGGCGAGGCCGCAGCCGCCGAGCCAGCCGGAGAAGCCGCCGGCAGCGCCCCGCCGGCCGCCCAGCCCCGGCACCGCCCCGGCAGCCCGGGGGTCCCCGCCCGCCGCGCCCCCCAAGCCGCAGGAGAAGGGCAAGGGGCGCGTTCCGCAGCCCCGCGACGTGCGCAAGCTGGTGAAGAGCAGCTACAGCCTCAAGTTCGGGACTGCCGGCGCCTCCCGCGGCACCGCGGCAGCGGCGAGCAGCGGGGAGCCGCCGCCAGCCGCCCCTCTGGTCATCCACTGCACCTCGGTGCGCCGGGAGCCGCCGCCGGAGCCGGCGGGGGAGGAGGTGCCGGCGGCCCCCGGCCGAGAGCCGGCCCCGGCCAGTGCCGAGGGTCCCGCCAGGCCCCCGCACAGCTCCCCCATCAACATCACCAGGGTCCAGGCCACGCGGAGGGGAGCGGCCCCCCCGGAGGAGCCGCCGGCGTCGCCCCCGCGCCGGGAGCGCAGCGAGCTCCGGCTGCCCCCGCGGGCGGAGCGGGTCCCGCACGTGGAGACCCATCTGCACGTCCTGGTGGGGCGGCCGGGCCCGGGGAGCTCCCTGGCCCAGAGCAGCGCCCTGCTGCGGGCAGAGAAGACCGTTCTGCTGCCGCCGCCGCCGCCGAGCCCCGCCGAGGGGAGGGAGCTGCGCGGCCGTGGCAGCAGCGGAGCGCTCCCCGCTGCCGAGGGCCCGGAGCCGCCGGGGCAGCGGCCCCGCAGCGGGGACAGCCGGGACCCCCGGGCCGGAGCCCCGGGCGGCAGCAGCGCCGGGGAAGAGCCCGGGGCCGGCGAGCAGCGGCAGCAGCAGCCCGGCGGCGGCCGGCGGCTCTCGGCGGGCAGCGGGGGCTCTGCCGGTGGCTCCGGCCCCGCCGCCCCGCTCCGAGCCGGGGACAGCGGGGAAGGCTCCCCTGGGCGGCTGCCGGAGCACAGGGAGGCCTGGGAGCGCTCGCCGCTGTGGCCGGCGGCCCCAGAGCCCTACCCGCCTGCTGCCCCGGCAGAGAACTCCAACTACTTGGCAATCCCCGAGAGAGCCCCCAAATCCACGCTGGTGCCAAAGCTGCCCTCGGTCCCCAACCCGGGCAGTGCTTCCTTTGGGACTCCCTTTGTCCCCGTCCCGGCCAGCGCCTCTTTTGGGGCTCCCTCAGCCCCCAACCCAGCCAGTGCCTCTTTTGGGACCTCCATGGTCACCAACGTGACCAGCTCATCCTTTGGCTTCCCATCAGCCTCCAGCCTGGCCAGCACATCATTTGGGGCCCCCTTGGTTTCCAACTCCAATAAGTGTTTTGGTGCCCCTCTGGTCCCCAATCCATCCAGTGCATCCTTTGGGAATCCCTTGGTCCCAAATCCATCCAGTGCATCCTTTGGGAACCCCTTGGTCCCAAATCTATCCAGTGCCTCATTTGGGAACCCCTTGATCCCAAATCCATCCAGTGCATCCTTTGGGTCCCAGCTGGTGTCAAATGCATCCAATGTATCATTGGGGTCCCCACTGGTCCCAAATCCATCCAGTGCATCCTTTGGGAACCCTTTGATCCCAAATCCATCCAGTGCATCCTTTGGGAACCCCTTGGTCTCCAATCCATCCAGTGCATCGTTTGGGTCTCCACTGGTCCCTAATCCATCCAGTGCATCCTTTGGGAACCCCTTGGTCCCCAATCCATCCAGTGCATCCTTTGGGAACCCCTTGATCCCAAATCCATCCAGTGCATCCTTTGGGTCCCAGCTGGTGCCCAATCCATCCAGTGCATCCTTTGGGTCCCCACTGGTGCCCAATCCATCCAGTGCATCCTTTGGGAACCCCTTGGTCTCCAATCCATCCAGTGCACCCTTTGGGTCTCCACTGGTCCCCAATCCATCCAGTGCATCCTTTGGGTCCCCACTGGTGCCCAATCCATCCAGTGCATCCTTTGGGAACCCCTTGATCCCCAACCCAGGCAGCTCATCCTTTGGGTCCCCCTTGGTCAGCAACCCAGTCCCCACTTCCCTTGGGCATCCCTCAGTCTCCAACGTGGCCGGCTCTTTCTTTGGATCCCCTTTTGTCCCCAGCCCAGCCAGCGCTCCGCTGGGATCCGGTGCCTATTCCCTTCCTGCTGGGGAAGTGCCCTGGAGCAAGCCCAGCCCTGAGCCCCCCCTGCCCCGACCCCCCGAGGGCTCCGCTGCTGTGGACCCCCCGGCCCTGCCCCACCTGGAGGATGCTCCTCCTTTCCTCAGGAGGAGCGAGGGTCCCTCGCCGAGCGGGAGGAGCCGGCAGAGCCCCCCAAAGCCCTTCCCCGCCGCCGTGCCCGCCCAGCGGAGGATGCTCGTGGATCCCAGCAGCGGCAAGTGCTACTACATGGAGCCGCCGCGGCAGCCGCAGATGAAAACGCTCTACGACCCCGAGACCGGGCAGTACCTGGAGGTGCTGGTCCCGCCGGTGGCATCACACACCGGGCTCTACCAGGCACCTTTCAACCCGCTGGTCATGGCCCCGGGGGTCTACAGCCCACCCTACGCACCCTACGGCGGCTTCCCGGGGCTCCCGGCGCCGCCGCCCGCCGCCCCCTCTCCGCCGCACCCCTCGCTGCCGCCGGCCGACAACCCCGGCACCCCCGGCTCCGCTGCCAAGGGCGAGGGCTCGTCCCCTGCCGGGGGTCCCGACTGCGGCTACCTGGAGAGCCTCTACTACATCCCCACGGGCATGCGGGCCAGCCCCGGCCCCGAGCAGCCCCCGGCCCGCGCCAGCCCTGCCGCGCCCGAGGGCTCCCTGCTCCGCATGTGACGGGACGGAGACGCCGGGATGTCCCTTCCCTTGGCCCGGCTTGGCCCAAAGTCAGCATCGCCCCTGGCACGGGAGAGGGGTAGCGGGCACTGGTTGGACTTCAGTGGCTTCTCATGGAAACGGGGACAGGAAGGGCGTGCTCGGTGTCAGCAGCTGGCAGCCCGAGGGGGACATGGAGGTGGCCCCGGCCAGCAAAGGGAGCACAGAGGCCCCGCTTCCCCCTGTCCTGCCAGTCCCATCCCAAGGATGACCCGGGCTGGTTCGCACAGGGGGTGATGGCCTGGCCACTCCCAGCTCCCCACAGCTGCAGCACAGACACCCCAAAATAGTAATAAAAATGCTGAAACGGCTTTAAATCTACTTATTTATCCTGTGTTTGTGTGGTGTGTAAAGGGAGGGGAGGCGCTGAGGCACTTGGAACCTGCAATCCTTCTGTCTGTCTTGGAGTGTCCATCTGATAAATCCCAGTCCTGAGGAGCAGGGGAGGACTCTGCAGCCATCAGTGAGCCCTAAACCCCAAACCTTAGCCCTGAGCACCAAATCACAACCATGAACCACAGCCACAACCACGAGCCTCAAACCCCAGTCCTTAACCCCAAACCCTCACCCAGCCCCAGCCCCTGTAAGTCCACACCATCCCAGGAAGGAGTGAGGTTGAGGACAAGGGAACAGGCTGAGTTACAGCAAAAACCTCCTGGAGAGGGGGTCCCCGGTCTGGGACACCCCCTGCACCCCCCCTTCCTGCCGCGATGCCCGGGTCGGACGGGCCGCCCCAGCCGGATGCAGGTGTGCGCTGCCCGCGCCTCGCCGGTCCCGGGGGGTTCATAGCCCGCCCCAGGGTTTATAGCCCGCCCCGGGGGGGTTCGTAGCCCGCCCCAGGGTTCATAGCCCGCCCCGGGGGGGTTCATAGCCCGCCCCACGGTTTATAACCTCCCCGGGGGTTCATAGCCCGCCCCGGGGTCTGTAGCCCGGTTTGCAGCCCGGCCGGTGGGTTTGTAGCCACCCCACGCCTCCGCCCCGCGCTGTCGGAGCGCTGCAGGATGCGGGCGGCGCTGGCAGCGTGGCTGCTGCTGACCCTGCTGGGGGGGACGGGGGCCGAGGACACGTGCGGGGACCCCCCCACAGCCCCGTCCCGCTCGGTGCCCGCGCCCCAGCTGAGCCCCGAGGAGCGGCTCTCGCCCCACATGCCCGAATCGCTGCGCTGTGACGCCTGCCACGCCATCGCCTTCCAGGTGGGGAGCGGGGACACGGCGCCCCAAAAGCGGCAGTGAGAATCCTTGTGGGGAGGCTTCAGCCTGGGGAGATGCTGCTGCTCCTCTGGGGCACGGCCTGTTGGAGATTCTCCCTTTTGGGGCTCCTCATGGACCCTCTGACCCAGATGTGCTTCCATTGCTGGGGCCCCACAGAAGGGGGTGCAGAGCCCAGCCCCGCTCGGGAGCCGGGTCATGGTCGGGCTGCCACCCCCAGTGCCCCGATTCTGCCTTTTCTCACCCCAGATTGAGGAGCAGCTGCGCAAGGCAGAAGGGAAGATGGGCAAGAAGGCTCTGAAGGAGTCGGACTACATAGAGGTGCTGGAGAGGAGCTGCTCGCAGGACTGGGAGAGGTGAGCAGGGTGTCCCTGGGATGGGGGTGTCCCTGAGATCAGGGCGATCCCAGCTACCGCCGAGTCCGCAGGGGTCAGAGTGTCCCGAGGACGGCGGTGTCTCAGGGATCTGGTGTCCCCAGGGACAGGGGTGTCCCCAGCGACCACTTTGCCTCCAACTCCCCTCTCCCCGCAGTTACGGGGTGCTGGAGCTGGACGGGGAGAAGCGGCTGTCGGGGCCGGGGCTGCCGAGCCAGCAGTCCCTGAGCGTGCTGGTGTCGGGGGGACCGTGGCCGGGCAGGTGAGCGGGGGTTCGGCGGTGCAGGGGGGCCGGGCAAGGTGCCCTCTATCCCGGTGACCCCGCGGCTCCTCGCAGGCTCTCCAAGCTGTGCCTCGGCTACGTGGGCGAGCGGGGCGAGGCGCAGATTTACAGCGCGCACCGGCGGGGCCCGGCCGCGCTGCGGCAGCTGCTGTGCCACGGCGACAACAAGGGACCGTGCGCCGGCCGCAAGGAGCGCCCGGAGCCCCGCAAGGCGCCGCAGAACGAGCTGTAGCCCGCCGTGGTTAATGCTTAATGCCCCGGCGACCTTCGGAGCCGACTTCGTCCCCAGTGGGAGCCGACACGTGCCGGGGTGGGCGCCTCGCCGCTGTCGCCTGTCACCGATGTCGCCGCTGTCGCTCGGTGTCCGCTCGGGCGAGCGGGGAATTACTGTGTAACCCACGGGCTCTAATGTTTCACCGGGCGCTGCTCCGGGCGGGGGCAGCCCCAATTAAAGGAGTTAATGGCTGATCCGTGCCGGGGCTGCGCTCGCCGCTTTCACAACCCCCAGCCAATGGCCGCCCTCCCCCCGCCACCGCCACCGCCCGGCCGGGGACTAAAGTCCTTCCCACGGCCATAAAACCCCCCGAGCAGCGACAGCGCCGCCGGGGAGCGTCCGAGGATGGGGACCCGCTCGGGAGACCTGGCTCAGCCCCAGGTGAATGCAGGCGCCGTCCCTGCCCCATCCCCATCCCTTCCTCGGTGTCATCCCCGGGCGGTGGGGAGGGAGGTGGTGGCCGGGCACACCGACCCAGCGATGGCCAGCTCAGGGTCAGGATGCCCCGCTGGGGCTGGCAAAGGCCAGGGGGAGCCTGGGGACTGCGGTGAATCGCGGCACCGAGGGGACACGCTGGAATGCTGCGGCTGGGACCGGCCGTGCCACCTTTCCCATCACCTGCAGGGGGGATCCCCCTCCAGACTTTCCAGGAACAAAATACAACGCAGGGATCGGTGGTTTGGGAGCCCAGACCCCTCCTGGAGGTCAGAGCGGGCACCGGGTGGGACTGACAGGAAACACCCTGGGCCATGGCCCGGTGTCACCCGCGTCCCTCAGAGCAGAGCCCAGCCCCTTCCCGAGGGACACCCGGGTCCGCACTGACCCAGCTCCTCCCTCGTCCCCACTGCCAGAATGGGAACTTGGCTCTGGGCCCCGCGGGCTCCCCGCACGCCCCTGGGAAGGAGCTGCCTGTGGCGGGCAGGGTGAGTACCGGGCCCCCCGTGGGCAGCACCGCACCCCAAACCCATCTGTGACACACCTGCGGATGGAGCCCGGCCAGCCGGGACCCCTCCCATCCCCGCGGGCACAGGGGCTCCCATGGGGCCGGGTGGGCTGCCCGTCCCTGCACGCAGCCCCACGGTGACACAGGCTGAGCTGTGCCCCCCCAGCAGGAGCCCGGGGCGGGCACCAGGCCCCCCCGGCCGGAGGTGGACATGCTCTACAAGATCGAGGACGTGCCCCCCTGGTACCTCTGCATCCTGCTCGGCTTCCAGGTACAGCCTGGCAAGTGTCAGACCCCGAATCCCCGTTCCCCGCGGTGTGGGGCACCCCCCAGCCCCGCTGAGCCCCCCTTGCCCCCCAGCACTACCTGACGTGCTTCAGCGGCACCATCGCCGTGCCCTTCCTGCTGGCCGAGAGCCTGTGCGTGGGCAAGGACCAGCTCACCGTCAGCTACCTCATCGGCACCATCTTCACCTGCGTGGGCATCACCACCCTCATCCAGACCACCGTGGGCATCAGGTAGAGCCGCGGCCCCGCGGGCCCCGTGCCCAGCCCCGGGCACAGGCACAGGATCCCTCCCTCTGTCCCCGCAGGCTGCCGCTCTTCCAGGCCAGCGCCCTCGCCTTCCTCGTGCCCGCCAAGTCCATCCTGGCCCTGGACAAGTGGCGATGCCCACCTGAAGGTGAGGGCAGGGGGGTGCAGGGGGTGTCCGGCTGCTCCCCGACCCCCAGGACCACCTCACCGCCCTCCATCCCCAGAGGAGATCTACGGTAACTGGTCCCTGCCGCTCAACACGTCGCACATCTGGCAGCCCCGCATGCGAGAGGTACAGCCTGCCACCACACTGCCACCACCCTGCATCATCCTGCCACCACACTGCCACCACCCTCCACCATCCTGCCACCCCCTGCCACCAACCTGCCATAATCCTCCCTCAATCCTGGCACCAACCTGCCACAATCCTGCCACCATCCTGTCATCATCCTGCCATCATCCTGGCACACCCTGCCACCGTCCTGCCACCACTCTGCACCATCCTGCCACCCCTGCCACCATCCTGCCACCCCCTGCCACCAACCTGCCACAATCCTCCCTCAATCCTGGCACACCCTGCCACCACCCTGCACCATCCTGCCACCACCCTGCCACCACACTGCAACCAACCTGCCACCATCCTGCACAACCCTGCCACCCTCTGCCACCACCCTGCCACCACCCTGCACCATCCTGCACCACCCTGCCATGATCCTGCCACTACCCTGCCACCCTCTGCCACCCCCTGCCACCACCCTGCACCACCCTGCCACCACCCTGCCATCATCCTGCCACCACCCCGTGGCACCCTGACTCCCCAGCAGGCTGCTGACACTCTCTCCATGGCCTGCAGATCCAGGGGGCCATCATAGTGTCCAGCCTGGTGGAAGTGCTCATCGGGCTGCTGGGGCTCCCCGGGGCACTGCTCAGCTACATCGGGCCACTGACCGTCACCCCCACCGTGTCCCTCATCGGACTCTCCGTGTTCCAGGCGGCCGGCGACCGGGCTGGCTCCCACTGGGGCATCTCTGTGCTGTATGGCATGGGGACACGGGGGACACGGGGGACAGGGGGGACATGGGGACAGGAGGGCAGGGTTGTCCAACACAGAGCCAGGAGGATGTCAGGGGTGTGAGGTGGTGCCTTGTGCAGGCTGGCCTAGAACAGAGGCTGGACGGAGCTAAAGAATAAAGCAGGGGTTTATTAGGAGACTTCAATGGATGCACCTTGGGCAGCACAAGAGCCCAGCCAGGGCTGCACCCAAGATGAACCAAAATGGGCACAAAATGCACGACTGGGCACAGGGTCTGTCACTTTTATAAGTTTTGGTCAATTAGCATATTGGAGTTAATTGTCCAATTACAGCTCCAGCCCATGCAGTCCCACCTTCTTGTTTATCTCTCCTCAGCCCACGTTGTTTGTGCTCTTGGGCCTAAGATTTGGATCATTTGTCCTTGGTGCCCAGCTGGAGCAGGAATTGTTTTGTCTCTGTGCACAGAGCTCACCATCCCCGGATATGAAGCTCAGACCCACACTCTAAAGCAGCACAGAATCTGAAAAATATAAAAGCTGAAACCTGAGGCTTCAGAGGGATCCCATCTGTCTCTCCCCCAGGACCATCTTCCTGATTGTCCTGTTTGCCCAGTACCTGCGGCAGGTCGCCATCTGCCTGCCCGGCTACCGGCGGGGCCGCGGCTTTGTCCTGCTCCGCGTCCAGATCTTCAAGATGTTCCCGGTAGGGGCTGGCTGGGAGCATCCTGGGGCGGCCCCACATCGCCCCGTTTGCCCCAGGCGGGCTCGGGAGCGGTGCGGGAGGGTGCCGTGTGTGCCCGCAGATCATCCTGGCCATCATGCTGGTGTGGCTCATCTGCTACGTGCTGACCCGCACCGGAGTGTTCCCCAGCCGGCCCGACGAGTACGGCTACAAGGCCAGGACGGACGCCCGCGGGGAGATCCTGTCCGTGGCGCCCTGGTTCCGTGTCCCCTACCCCTGTGAGTGCCCCGATCCCCGCTTGCCCTGGGGATGTGGGGACCTGGTGCAGCATCACCGGGGCTGGGAAACACCTGGGGAAGCCCAAAGTGGCACCGGTGAGCACCGGCTGGGGGGTCCTGGGCTGTCCCCAGCCCTGAGCTGCTCTGCCCCCGGGCAGGCCAGTGGGGGCTGCCCACGGTGACCTCCGCAGCCGTGCTGGGCATGTTCAGTGCCACGCTGGCGGGCATCATCGAGTCCATCGGGGACTACTACTCCTGTGCCCGGCTGGCAGGAGCGCCGCCGCCCCCGGTGCACGCCATCAACAGGTACAGCCGGCTGCTCCCCCCTCCACGGCACCTCACTCGCACCGCAGCATCTCTGGACACCGGTCAGGGAGGCTGCAGGACAGTGGGATGGGCACCAGCCCGGCCGCGTTGTTCCCCAGGGGCATTTTCACCGAGGGCATCTCCTGCATCATCGCGGGGCTCTTGGGAACCGGCAATGGCTCCACGTCCTCCAGCCCCAACATCGGCGTCCTGGGCATCACCAAGGTACGGGGGCGGGTCCCGGCTGGGCCGGAGGGCGCAGGCACCGTCACCGGCTCCCGCTGTCCGTGTGCAGGTGGGGAGCAGGAGGGTGATCCAGTACGGCGCCGGGATCATGATCCTGCTGGGCACCATCGGCAAATTCACGGCGCTCTTCGCCTCCCTGCCCGACCCCGTGCTCGGCGGGATGTTCTGCACCTTGTTCGGTAACTGAATGCCCAAACGCAGCCCTGGGCCACGTCCCCGCAGCCCTGGGGGCTGGTGAGCCCGAGGGCGGGTTTGGGGGGAACGGGAGACCCTCGCAGCCCCGGTACCCCCGCCTGCATCGCCGCATCTCTGCCGGCAGGAATGATCACGGCCGTCGGCCTCTCCAACCTGCAGTTCGTCGACATGAACTCCTCCCGAAACCTCTTCGTGCTGGGCTTTGCCATGTTTTTCGGGCTGGTGCTGCCGAACTACCTGGATTCCCACCCCGGGGCCATTAACACAGGTACGGCCCCACGGAGAGCCGCGGTTTGGGCAGTTTGGGGAGACAGGAGCGCAGATCTGCCGGGGTGCAGCGGGGAAATCCGGCTCCTCACAGCACCCCGGCCCCGCCCCACGCTGTCTCAGGTGTCCCCGAGCTGGACCAGATCCTGACGGTGCTGCTGACCACGGAGATGTTCGTCGGGGGCACTCTTGCCTTCGTCCTGGACAACACCATCCCGGGTAACCGGGCACACGGGCGGGCAGGGGCAGCGGGGCTGGGGCAGGTTCCTGTCGGTTTAGAGCCGCCAGGGGGGATGGCGGGGCCGGGGGTGACACCGGACCCCCCGCAGGGACCCAGGAGGAACGAGGGCTGGTGCAGTGGAAGGCAGGAGCGCACTCGGACAGCTCGAGCAGCGCCAGCCTGAGGAGCTACGACTTCCCCTTCGGCATGGGCGCGGTGCGGAGCAGCCGCTGGCTCCGGAACGTGCCCATCTGCC